GGTCTTGGAAGAAGAAGTTACTGCACCTTCAGTACCAAAATCCGACAAAAGAGTGGAGTTTGGGTTGGGATTCTCAGATGAATTACTGAGAACGAGCTTGATGACAGTGTGGGAATTGATGAGGCCATCATGGTGTCCTAGTCCCAACGCTGACTCAATACTACGGGCGACACAAGGCGTGCAGAGGGAACTGAATGCAGACTGTAACCTGCGTGACCTCAACATCATATATAATGTGATGATAACAGCCTCTAAGAGCAACGGAGAAGATAGAGTGGAGTTGCCTGGCTGGGGACCAGATGACTGGGTCAAACCTGGTAGCTGTCTGGCGGAAGTCTGTGGACTGGAGGGTCACGTTTGTGGAGGTCTGGACTGTGTGAGGACCCTGGAGAAACAACACAAGCAATTGACGGTTTTGTTTGGAAATGTAGTGATGAAAGCTAGAACAGAAACGGAACTGATAGCAGATTGTCATGGAGGAACCGATGTGAATCTAGTGACTGCACTAGGATTCTACAGCATGTTTGGTTCTTTAGAGTCACTATTGAATCTAGAACAGAAACATGAGGTGGTCACAGGCATCAGTGTAGAAGTATTCCCAGGAGTTCTGCAGACTGAACAGAAATACATAGGGAAATGGAGGGAAGCAACCGAGACAGAAATGAACATCAGACACAGCGAGACTTATTGTAGACCATCAGGAGCACGATATTTGGTGGGTTCAACGTTGGCTCCAATGTGCAAGAGCAGATATCCTGTACATTTCGTAGCTGTGGACGTGAAGAGTACAAGAACGATCGTGGATCAAGCCTTCTCAGTGCCGAAGTGTGTGAGATTGGCAAGAATGTCCGAGAAGTCTTACGAGTTACTATGTAAGATGTTCTCAGCAGTCCCAGAGAGAACCAAAGAAGAATCGGAGTCGATACTAGGAAAGAAGTTCATGGGATATGTGAGTGGGAACTTCAGTGACTTTGAGAGACAGAAACAGAGAGGATCAACTGTCACAGATTACAATGCAGTAGATGAGAATGATGAAGTCCACCGAGTGATGATGGTAGTGAAACCATTGCTGGAAGCTTCGGGAAAACGTAATTGGAGGAGCATCATGTTGACGCATGATGAGTTTCCTTGCCACTGCTTGCTGCAGACCTGGTGGTATCCCAAGCGTAGTAATCTGATGTTGATCTGGGACTCTGGAGAGCTGCTCTCCATGGGTTTACCAGATTCATCACAGCCCGTAACGATAGTGATAGTGGGAGTTATGATGGCGATACGATGGCTGGAAGCCCATGTGAGAGAAAATAACAGACAGGAGGCACCGACGAGAGAACAGTTGCGGAAGTTAGATTGTCTAAAAGATTTAGATCTTTTTGAGACAATGTGCAAAATTCTAAACATTCCGATGGAAGTGAAGAAGATATGGGCAAGAAAACGATTGATGCCATGGTTCAGAGCTAACATGACTGCATGGTTGTACGAGTATGCGAAAAAGCATATGTCGAAGCACGGCAGGGTGTACAGTGAATATCAGCTGGACATTGGAGCAGGAGCTTTCAAGCAAGCTCTCGTGACTCATTGGAATGCAGTGACCACCGCTGTGAAAAGAATTTCCAGGACGAGTGAACGTAGTGGAAAGGCGAAGGCAGAGATGCTGAAAGAAGATTTGGAGAGAAACGTGACGTTGTGTCTCCACAACAGCTTCTGCAGGAACAGAGAATCTAACGTGGATCCCCTACCTTGCTGCAAACAGAGGGTAGAAGAGCAGAAGTGTTGGAGGACGGCTTCCAGCAGCGTCAGGATAGTTAACGACGTGTTACAAGATACAGAAACTGAGAGTGCAGAGTCAGTATCACAGGAGGAAGAAATGGAACATTGACGGATGACCGAAAAACAAGATGAAAAAAGAGATGAAATTAGAAAAATTTAGAAGTTTTAGAACTTCTAAACGACGAAAAAAGAAGAAAACAAAGGAGTGATGAAGAAAAGTTAAAACTCAGAATTGTTTATGTGTGTGAAAAACTCAAGTGAGAAACCAAGCAACCAAGTTGTAATTGAAAACTGAAACATTAAGTTGAGTTTTGAAATTGTTGCATTTATAAATTTGCATTTTGATTTTAGTTGAAGTGGCTTTAGAGACACTCACTTACTATTTATTTAGAAAGGCTTAAGTGAAGGATTATATTTGAATATTCCAGCCTGCATGACTGTTTTTAATCAGCTAGGAGAACTGAGCACTTTGTAGTGACATGGAAGGCTTGAGTAGTCTCTCGAAGAGGGAGATTGTTTCATTGTTCTTTCTAACCACAGAGTTTCTTAGTTTTAATATTCAGGACAATAACAAGCAAGATTTCCGAAGGGAAGAAGCATAGTAGGATAATTTTAGCTTATTGGTTGGCAGGACTGTCCTGCAAGCCAACACCTTTTAAATCTAAGAGAAAAAGTTTTAATCGGGACATTGACATTGGAAGTCAGAAAATATGTTTTATCTTAAGTCATATCCTCAATGTGCAGATTAATGAGAGAATTTGAAGGCTATAGTGATGTAGTATGATGCCATTTATATTCTGCAGTGAGTCGATGTGACGTGGATAAGAGTAATTTTGTGCATTTTGTAAATTCTGTTCGATGACACTGTAACCATTTTACGAACATTGCGTGATTCAATGAGGACATTGACCGGACTGTCCGGGGAGTATGTGACATTCGACCAGAATGTGAAAAATGCAATCTCTGCAGAATTCGAATTTTTAGCAGCGAGCCTTCCAGATTGGTGATTTTTAGGAATTAAGAACGTTATTGGAACGAGTGGCCAAACTGTGAGGGCTAGAATATTCTGGTATTTTAAAATTTCAAAAATTCGAATTATGACGTCATATTTCTGAGAAACGTCAGAAACATCCATTTTGGCTCAGACAAGAAAGAAAAACAGAACAACATTAGCTGCGCTGACAACAACTACGAAATCGAGATTGAAAAACGACGACGAATTACAGAGTAACAGAGAACACTCCGAGTTGCAACTATTGTGCCGCTACAATAGTTGCAAGGCCGTTGCGAACAACGGTGAAGGGTGAAAGACGGCCTTCCGGATTAAGAAGAAATCAGGATTAACAAGCTTGATCCAGCGGATTCATCAATCCGGAAGGGTAAAGGAACTGAAACTTTTATCCTGTTACATAAACTTTTAGCTTCATGTCATGTCCTGACTTGAATTTAATTAACATCTAGATTCATTTTGATAAGGATGAGAAGCTAGGAGATGGGGGAAAGGGTTGATCCATCTTCGATGGATGTGCCATTCAGCCAGATGGCACAGCACAACCTTCCGGCGACGTAAAAAGAACGACCAAAGGCCTTATTGACGAAAAAGTATTGCGAAGGAGGGTCGGAATATTCTAGAATTTTAATTTTTAAAATTTCGATTAGAAGAAGAATATTTCTCAGAAATACGAAAAACGGCCATTTTGACTGAAAAAGTGACGAAAATCAGAACAACGACAGATATTGTGAAAAACAGTCGTACCAGAGACGGAAAATACGAAGCCTCTTATCGTGGCAACAACGCACGATAAGAAACTTGACAACAGATATTGGTGGAGAAGGAGGCTTCAGTGGGGGAAGAAATACACCACGGAACCCTCCCGGGACACAAATTAGAGGAGATAAGAGCGTTATCTCAGGAATATTACGGGAGCGGAGGCTTGGTCCCCCAGAGACTGTTCTATGTGAAGGGATTGTATAAACTAACTTTATAGCTGCTGGAATGTCATAGATCTCTTAATTAACACCGTCATTGTTTGATATTTCAGAAAATGAGTAGCTAGAAAAAGGAAAGAGTCAATCCATCTCCAATGGATTTAATATAAAACTGTCACACAAAAATATGTTAAAATAGGTTGTTCGAGCCGTGTTTTTAATGACAATCACGTAGTCTGAGGATCCGAGACTCAGCTATGTGGTTGTGTTCGCATGTAAACGAAAGCTGATCAAAAGTCGTTTGACTGATGGCCTAAAAATGGTAACTTTTTACTTAGCCCTAGACAGACCAGAAAATCAACTGGCAAGGTCGAGACGGTGAGAAACGAGTACGATTAAGGTAACTGACGCCTGCCAGTCGTTAATAGGTACTTTTTCTACGCTCCGTCGCTGTGTAGTATTTGGGCTAATGTTACAGGAGATGATGATTTTTATCTACTGAACAAAAACAATAGTAATATAATAAGTAGTAGCCCTGTTTTTAGGAGTGAGCTCGTGGTCTGGGGATACTGAGACCCAGCCATGAGCTCACTATTTCTGCATGTAATCTAGTTAATTTGAGTGTTTTGACCAAAGCCGAAAGCAGTAACGTTTTTGTCGACCCGATGTTGGAAAGGACCACCAAAAAGTATTGGCTTGGTAGAGACGGTGAAAAGCATGCAAAGCTCTGTTTAGACGTTAACCAGTCGTCTTAAGACTTAGTTTTGTCTTCCGTCGATATGTATCTTCCGGGCGAATGTTACATGTAACCAATGAATTTTAACCAACTTTATTATTTACACTTTGCTATACTGATGCCTCGGCTTTTTACTGTATAGTAATTCAGGTGTTCTTTCTCTCTTCTCTCTCTCTAATAAAAAGTAACTGTACGGATTGTTCCGACCCTGTTTTTAACGGCGTTCGCGTCTTTTGGGTATTTTGAGACCTGAGTATGGGGATGTTCTAATTTTCTAGAGTGGGGGGGGGGGGGGGTATTTTGGTAGTGGCCTTTAAGCTGTAACGGGTTTTTAGTCTCATGTCGCAAGTGAACCGAATTGGCTCCGACCGTTCGAGGTAGAAAAACAAGAGATAGTGTCTCTGACTCTTGAGCCAATGGTTATAGGGCCTATTTTTCTTTAACCTCATATGTGACCTAAGTAGGCGACTTTTACATTATATAGCGTTGGTATGGCCGTTTCCAACATGTGCACGGACCTTCGCATGGCACAAGGGCCCATTTTAATTGACCTCTTATCATTTTTTCAGGACATGGTATGTTTTAATGGGATGTATTTTTAGCCGCAACCGTGAATCGGATGACTCAGAAGGTATGTTCTTAATCCTCGACTTCTTTAAGATTTTTTTTAAATTTCCTAAGCTTATTTTGCCGTTTTTGTACTGTGTTTACTGATAGGAGCTTTAGCTGTAGTAAAACTAGTTCAAAAAAGATAGTTTTTGTCGATTAGTTATGAAAGCGATTTTTTACCTACTTCAGCAATAATATTAGCAAAAGCCTTTTCCCGTTAACAACTTTGTTCAGAAAATTCTATGGTTTTTAATTTTTCTTCGTTGGTGCATTGACAACGCACATGCTTGTAGCGAGTCAGTTTGTAGCTGTAGTTTTAGCAAATTTTCTTTTTGCTGTATCATTTAATAGTGGCATTATCGCTTTTCTTTTTTGACAATATAGTTTTTCTGTGGTATTTGGCAATATAGATTTTCTGTCAAGTTCCAGGAATTGGATCTCAAGCGGACTTTGTTTTTCTTCGGCGCGGAAATTGTTTTTTTTGCTGCGAACTAAAACGGCGACAATCACTTAGCCGCAACAGAATAACGTCAACTTCGTTGTTTTTAGTTTAGTTTTTGTCAGCTTATTTGCGTTTTGTAACATGACTTTCTGGTATGCTATATGTAGTTAGTATATTAGAGCACTTAGTTCTTACACAAGGTTTCAGGATATAATTACGCGCTATCATTTGTCTAATAACACCAGCAAACGCTTCTATTGTTCTACGAGTGCCTTTTTCTCAACCTGAATCATCGAAGTGTGTTCACTTTTGGTATCTGAGTACTGCTCAAACTATATCTGACAATTTAAGCATAATTGTATCCACTTTTTGGGAGCATTCATTGCTAACTGTTTGGTATGGATGAAATTCGACGACTTCAAGAAACAGATCCTCGACGCATACGAATCTGTAATCACTTGGAAGAAGAATCTATTCAAGGTCCCATCTGGACAAAGCGGAAAGGCATTCATTCGTGAAATCACACGACACTTGGCAGAGTTTGTGGGAGGTACAAAGCACCAAACTGTTTCAATGACAAGTATCATGATAATGCCAGCTCTCCTACTCCAGAAACCACACTTGAAATCCAAAGCGAAAGAACATTCTAACCTACTCGAACAAAGACTTCAACAGTGGGAACAAGGTGACATCAGTGAACTGCTAAGAGCTGGTCGCTCAATACAGAACCGGTTACCAAATGGTAGAGCGAAAGCAGACCCTGAAACAATGAACAAAAGATTCGCTAATCTGGTCCTTCAGGGTAATATCAAAGCAGCACTCCACCTGCTTGATATAGATAAATCAGGGGACGTACTGAAGGTCGATACATCAGTTCTCAGTCAGCTCAAGGAAGAACACCCTGAAGGAAAGGCGATACTAGCAGGAAGTCTTTTGGAAGGGCCGGTAAATTGGGTGGACGAACATGTGTTTGACTCTATTGACGGCGGTAAAGTGCGAAGCGCTTGTTTGCAAATGACAGGGGGCGCCGGTCCATCGGGTCTGGATGCACTGGGTTTGCGGCGAATTGCTTGCTGCAAACATTTTGGTATGGAGTCCGTGAACTTATGCAACGCAGTTGCAGAGGTCACCCGTAGACTCTGTAAGCAAAACATAGATCACACGTTAATCACATCACTCGCCAACAGTCGCATAATCGCTCTCAACAAAAATCCCGGAATCCGCCCTATAGGAATAGGTGAAGTGCTGCGACGACTGATGGGTAAAGTGGTGGCTTCCACACTGAAGAAAGACGTACAAATCTCAGTTGGCCCGCTACAAACATGTACTGGTTTGAAATCTGGCAGTGTAGCCGCAGTTCACGCGATGCGAGAATATTTTGACACAGAAGAGTGTGAGGGCATCCTACTCATCGACGCAGAGAATGCATTCAACAGCCTCAACCGCAAAGCCGCGCTGCATAATATCCGAATTAGCTCCCCGAAATATCCTCTTTTATTCTGAATTTCTATCGTAAAGCCTCCCGCCTGTTCTACGACGGAGGGGAAATCTCATCAGACGAGGGTACTACCCAAGGTGATGCAGTAGCTATGGCGATATACGCGCTAGGAATAAAGAACTTGCTACAACCAGAACTCAGAACACGGAAGGTATTCTTTGCAGATGATGGTGTCTCTGGTGGCATGCTAAATGAAGTAATTTCAAAACTCACTTCTCGTAACAGATCAGCTGAAATCGGTCATCTTGCTGCAAGAGATAATCCCTGATAACCTTGCAGTGAACACTCGCAACACTATTCGATCAATGAAAACCTCGAAGTATGAACGATTGAAAATAGAATCCGCTATAGTGAAAGAAGCGGCGAATGAAAGTCTCTCCAGATCCATAGAAATCCTCGACTGTAAGTCATCGTCCATATGGTTAACTGCACTGCCAATCGAAGAAGAGGGCTTTGTATTGGATAAACAGTCCTTCAGAGATGCACTGTGTCTTCGATATGGACTCATCCTACATGATCTTCCCCAGAAATGCCCCTGCGGGTCGACCTTCGATGCAAACCATGCGATGATATGCAGAAAAGGGGGATTTGTACACATGAGACATGACGGAATCAGAAACCACCTATCAAAACTCTTATCAGAAGTTTGCGTAGACGTACGACAATAGCCCTCCCTACAATCACTGACAACTGAACACCTGACTCTCAGGTCCGCAAATTCCTCTGAAAACGCCCGACTTGACATCAGTGCTCGAAACTTTTGGAGTCATAATGGCCAGCGTGCATTCTTCAATGTACGGGTTTTCTATCCCAACGCACCTAGCCATCAAACGAAAAAAGTGGAGACACTGTTCAAAGAGCAGGAGAACGAGAAGAAGAGATGCTACAATGAGAGAGTTATGGAAATCGAACATGGAGTCTTTACACCACTCATTTTCGGATCAACAGGAGGCCAAGGAAAAGAATGTGACTTATTTTTGAAGAGACTTGCGTATCTTTTATCAGAAAAAATGACATCGGATTATTCAAAAACAATCTCGGCGATCAGATGCAAACTTTCGTTTTTATTAGTTAGATCATCAGTAACATGCCTCAGAGGCAGCAGGATTTTTTATAAGACGACGGGTACCGTTTTCGACCCTGATTTTACTACTTCACTTGCAGAGTTTTAACTCACGATATGACATTATCATTCCTCTTCACGGCGCTATTCTCTTAACTGTACATTTGTTACATTTTATTAGGACAGTATGTAAAGTACATATTGAAAAAAACTGTCTATCTGTTTTACGTCAAATTTTACTGGTGCTGAAGATTTTACTGATAGAATTTAAATTTTTTGATTAAAAAAAAATTGAACGAATTAGACAGCAAATGAATAATTGTTTCATAACTTGCTCGCCCTGATTTCGTTTGCTTCTTTGTATCACTTAATTGCCTAATAAGTTCACTGAAAAAAAAACTATCAGTGCGTTAACTTCTAAAGTCAGCAGGGGGATACGGCACCGTTGCAAAGGCAATTGATTAGTTTTCTATTGGTCTGTGCTAGAGGCTTGATTATTGTAGTCGGCTGCTTTTTTTTAAATTTGCCGTCTTAAGCTCTTTCTGCCGTCTTTTGTTTGTGTTTGCGAAGTGAAGTTTTGCCTCTGTGGTTAAACTAAGTCGAATAAATTAGTTTTTTGTCAACGTGTGTCGATTAGGCGTGAAAGCGACCTTCAACTATTTTACCCCTGCGTTTAGTCGTTTCCCGTGCTAGACTTTTCCCCGTTTGTTCTCTAAATTCATTATAGTTTTTGATTGTTTTTGTTAGAGCCGTGATAACGCACATTCATGGCACGTAAAAAGCTAGTTATTAGAGTCAGTTCACGAGTGATTCTGTTTGCAAATTGAGAATTTCCTGCTGAAAAATTTAATATCGTTTGTCTGTTTTGTTTTTGTTGGCTTAGTTTTCGTAACGCGAACTTTCACATGTGAGCAACATTAAGTTTTAATAATTAAGTGTTTGAATTAAGTGATTGGGGCATATTTCTTCAACTTTGAGTTCTTTTAAAGTTCAGGTTGTTTCCTTGTACGTATTATCGTATGGCAAAAGGCTATCAAGTTACGAGTTTCATTGCAAATTCAGACCTGCGCTGCTACCTATCCCATTAAATCACCGTTTGGTTCTGATGGTCCTTTTTTGTTTTTAAGAGTCACGAATAAAGTGATTACTCTCTTATAGGTGATTTTTTATTTTTTTTACGAAAAAGCCCTAAAATTCACAGTCAAATTTGATTTTTCGCGGTTTGAATTTTGATTTCTTATGAAGTTAAATTCAATTCATTTGTTACTCCTTTATCATTTTTAAAAATGGCTTTCAGTTTTCAGATTTCCAACCTCAATCAAAAATTACCTATGGTTCCAGTTTTCTCGAAATGGTATTTTTTGTTTAAAAAAAACGCAATCATAAGTAACTTTTGATTTTCGAAGAGTTTCTAGGTAAAATACTTTTTCCGTCGAAATTTCGATCATTTTTTTTGTTTATTTTCACACGTTTCTGTAGGCTATGTTTTTTGTTAATAAGGTGTATTCGGATTTAATGGGTTGGCTTATCTTATTTAAGCTAAGTAGCCTCAAATTGCGTCATTTGGATTCCAAAATTGTGATTTATGCTTGTGTGCTTTGGTGTACGTTTCAAATATCTAATTTTTGCCCGTAAACAACTTTCTCCCAAACATGAAAGAAATTGATTTTGCTCTTTTATGGAACTCATCGTCGTTCAGGTCCCTCTATTCGTCAAGAAGTAAAGCAAGCGCATTAGGAACATAAGGTCTATGGCTACAGTTTTGCCCTTTGTAGTAGTTGATACTGTGAAAACTTCAATTGACGGACCTGTTTGTTATTTTTTTAAAGTCCTGATTTCTAAAGCTTAGTTTTTTCACCAAAGCATAATCTTCTCTCCGATTTAAGCTTCTGTAACTATAATTTGAAGCTGTTCAGTAATTTGTAAGGTTTCCTACATTACATTTCGAAAACTATCGCTTTATTGGGGCCAGCTTATGGTATATTGACTTATTTGCCTGATTTCGCGTCGTTTGAAAGGCAAAATGAAGTGGTATGATTTTGTGTGTTTCAGGAGGGCTGGGGATTGTTTGCAAAATATTTTAACTCAAAATTATTTGACAAAAATTTGTTTTCGGCTCAAGTGTCCTCCACCCAAGTCTTGTCGGCTTAGTTGTCGTTCGGTAATTGTTTCTGAATGCTTAATTAACGGCGGTTATTGTGTTTCTTGGCATGATGTGCTCTAATTGAACATCATTCTAGACAAAGGTTTGAAATTTTTTTTGTAATGTTTTTTAATTTTTTTCAAAGTTTTTTTTTGGCTTCCATCTCCTTCTGTGTCTGCTAGCTTATAACGCTATTCTTGTGCTGTATCACAAGCTTCTTTGTAAAAAGTATTATCGACTTAGTTAATTTTTGTCTCAATGCTACCTTCACGCAGACAGTTGTTGTTCTAGACATAGTTTCCACAAAATAGACTTTGCTCGAGACAAACTTATGAAAATTTTGATTGAGTTTATTTCGATATATTTTTTGCAAAAATATTTTTGAGTTATTTTTGATTTTTGTCTGCTAGATTTTGTTGCTATGAATGGCGTGTCGCAAAATGGCTTTGGTTTTATTTCTAATATCATGCATATTTGTACTGCGAACTCTGTTATATCTTTTTGTTTAAAGTTAGGTGTTCAATTTATTATTGTTTTTATCCACGAGCTCACTTGAAAATTAAAATTGAAACTGACCAATGAAAAACTGGCCCTGCGAAACTGACCAATGATGTAAAAAAAAGTTTTGATGGAAACGTTCTCTGCTTTTTGCGAAGACAACAGACATTGTTTTCCTTAGAAGTCATGACTTTTTATTTCTTTTAGGTGCTGGTAAAAACCGCCCTCTACAGAAAGATGCTCCAATGTGGAAGAGCGAGGTGCCTATAACTCTAGGCCAGTTGATGAGTAAGCGGGATGAGTACTGGGACACTGCGCCTGCTTTCGACGGCAGAAGGGAAATCTGGGATGCACTGAGGGCTGCTGTTCAGGCATTCGAAAGCAAAGATTTCGTTCTTGCCCAAGCTATCATTGATGGTGCTAACATTACTCTACCTTTGGGTGAGCAGTTTGCCAGATTCTGGCCCCCTTAAAGTTCTTTCTTTATAAACAAGCTTGGTGCATATTTTGAAAATATAAACCAGTCTTATTAGATCGGATCGTCGATTTTTTTGGGTAAAAGATTGTCTAATAGAATGGCTAATACCAAAACTAATTTCGAGTGACTGGTTCGGCGCCTTCAGTGCTGAGATAAGGTCCAGGCCTGGAGTGACATAGGTCTAGGATTCGAGCCCGGCTAAGACCTGTATTTTTTGTGCTGAAAGTTGTCTGTGTCTGCTTTTACCGGGAATGTTTTATTGTTCCGTCTAGTGAAAATGGGGAATAACTTTGTTTTCGGGTGTGTTTTAGTTTTTAGGAGTAATTAACGTAGTGAAGACTCTTATATAGGCCTTAATGATTTTTTTTTTCAGGAAAAAGTCTCAAAATACTGATGCACCTAGGTATAATTCATTTGTTGAGTTCAATTAAAATTAATCTGCTGAAAGTGACGTAAATAGCACCCTCCCAATACGAACGTGGAAATGGCGCAAAAAACGTAAGCGATTTCTAGTTTCGAAAGTGGAATTTATTTTTAAGATTTCCCAGCGGAATAAAAAACTTTACCTATTGATCCAGTTTTCTCAAGTTGGGTGCTTAATATCAAAAAAGCGCCAATCATAAATTGTTCTAGAAATTCTATTTTTCTAGAAAGAGCTTAAAGGGCATCTATTTTTTTCTTTAAAATTCGAAAGTTGAGATTTTTTCAAGGAAGTCAGTTATTTTAATGTTTACTTACGTTCATTACTCTTTTCCAATCTTCAATTGGCTACGTTTGTCTTTTTCATTTTTTGTTTTCCACGCAAAGTCACGTACCACTAAAAATCATCGGACAGGGTCAAGTGATATATCGTATTAAAGTCGTGATTCGAACCACCGTAAAATTTTTCCAAAAAAAAAAGCTAGTGTTGAGAAAAATCGGTTTGAAATTTTTCATTTTTCGCCTATTTTCGAACGAGTGATGCGATCGAGTAACGCGATCGAGTAACGTTTGTTATAAATAAAAATAAGCAGTTTAGGCTAAAAAAAACTTGATTTTACTAAAACGAAAACTGGTTTTTGAAGCTCCATTGAGCTCCTCTCTGACAAAAGAAAACTTTGAAATACATTTAAGTTTTCTAGTGCAAAAAATTGAAAATTTTTTTTTCGAAGTTTTTAATTTTATTTGAAAGGAAATTGAAGTCGTTTATGTTTAATTTACAAAGTTCTTACGCATTTGTATAGTTGTATCATAACTCGACGTTCAAAACAAGCACAAAAGACACAAAAACAAAACTTTTTTTTCTGAAAGTGTGGCTAGAACATTCTGCACTACTTGCACAACAACCGGCTATCCTTGTTTTTTTGTTAGTGTCTTAAAAATGGGTCGTATTAAGTTTTGCGAGAGCAAGTGTCTTGTTATCGGAACAAGACTTTTTTCTCCAGTACACAACTTGCAAATTTTACTTTCTTTCTTACTTTATGTTATTAGTGAACCTTCACAATTTTCAGGTTCGCTTACACTTGGCTCAGGGGTAACGTGGCCGCCTTTGCACCCCAAGATCTGGGGTTCTAGACGCGGTCGGACCTTTTTTTCAGCATGTTATAAATTGGTTTTGTTTGCCGGTAAAATTTGAATTGTTGGACTTTCATTTGTCTGCTCAAGTTTTGTCGGCTTAGTTGCCACATGGCGGATTTTTTTGTACTGAAAGCTATTTTCATTATAGTTGTAAGTGTTGTTCATTTAAATTTCATTGCGGACTTCAAATTTTTTCCAAAATCATTTTCAAAATCAAACTGTTTGCTCAAAGGTTGTCGGCTGCTTCGTAAGTTTTGTTCAGTTGCTAATTTAATATTCAAATGTTTTGCTTGGGATGTTTGCCTTGAATGAACATCTATCGAGGCATACGAAAATTTTGCTAGATCTAGTTGTAGTTGTTTCGACATTTGTCATTGGTTTTCGACTTCGTATATTTTTTGTTTGTGCTGTATCGCAAGCGATGCGAAGCTCCGCTTCGCCTTTATTTTTATACTTGCGAAAGCCATGAATTAGACTTTTTCCGTTGAAAATTTTTCTGACGAACCTGTAAGAAGTTCAACGTGGTTTTTTTTTGATTGAAACCTAAGAAATTTCAGTCTTATTTCCACTTGGTCGAGTGTTTAGAATTTGCAGCCTGAATTTTTAAGTTGAGTCCTATCGGATCTTTCTGCAGTGTGCATGTTTTTTTTTCAGTATGCATGAAATTGAAAAAAAATTAACGGGAACATTGAAATGTCAAACTTTTGCTTGTATGCTTATGATTGTCGGCTTAGTTACCTCATCACGGTTTTTTTCTTGTTGTAAACATTTTTCATGCTAGTTGCAAGTGGATTTGATTTACTCCTGTAATTTGTAATTTTATTTGCCCTTACTTTGATTTTTTCTTTTTTTGTTTTTTTTTGGTCAAAAGCTTTATTCGGCCTTGATGGTTTCCTTGTTTTATCGGCTCATTAGGCCTTCAAACGACACTAAGTAAAACAACATTATATTTTTATGGCAATTTTTTTTATAGTACTATCTTTGTTTTTGGCTTAATGAGCGTCCACCCACGTATTGTCCGCTTAGTAGCTGCTTAGCGAGAAAAGAAGTTCTACTGGCAGTTGTTGTTCCGGCCTGTTTTCCAAAACTGAATGTTTCATTTTTTCCAAAAAATATATTTTTTTTTATCAATTATTTTCTGCTCCGATTTTTCCGACCCTTTTTCTTTTTGCTAGCTTTCAATGATATGCTTGCATTGTATCGCAAGTTATGGAAAGATTTGCTTCGCCTCTGTGTTAGAGAGATTATTTAGTGGTATTTAGATAATTAGTTAGATTATTTAGGTTATCAGAAAATCTTGTCTACGGCTGGGCAGTGGCATACATTTGCCTATCGCGAGTGGGGGTGAAGCTCCGCTTCGCTGATGTTAATTTATATAGAATGTCTTATTGAGGTTAAAAATGTGGCTGAAGTGGTATCATATAATGGGGCCTTGGAAATTAGGCAACCGTAAAACAACTGAGTTTAGACGATAACTTTTTGTGAATTTATACGATAAGAACTGGGCCAACAAAATTTTTTGTTTAAAATAAACTTACACTTACAACAAAAAAAATAACAAAAAGAGTATATTTTTAAAGAATTGGTTAAAATTATTATTGCAAATTATAAAACATTTAATTGAAATAGCGTAGTACATTTTTGAAATGAATAAATCATGCAGCTGTGACATTTAATAAAGTTAAATGTCACAGTTAAATTTGAATTATTGGATTCTTTTTTCACTTAGTACTAACAATAGTTTATGTCTTCTTCTAACCAAAAGATATTAGCTGCAGCCAGATATCAATAAATCAAATGACGTTTGATGATTTGTATCATAAAGATATTACTGGTTTGAAAGGTTAGTAACAACTCACTTAAACAAACTTGGTTAGTCGCATAAACTTGTCAACGTTAAAAATTCTTCTTTTATACAGTTCTTATTCGTGACTTGATTGTGTAAATGGTGCCGTGTGTTTATGATACTTTTGCTCAAACTAATTAAATTACAGCGCTGTACGGCGCGTCCAAATTTTTTCTCTGCCAAAACTCAAATTGCTGCAAAAACGTTTATATCTTCAAAATGGACGGGGATTCGAGTGATCAAGTTTTAACGGAGAGGATGAAGGCTCTATTGGCAATCGAAGCAATCAGGAGGCCGAAAAAACTGAGCATTTTGGGACGGAAACCGGACAACGAAGAACTGCAGGCGATTCGTGTGATTCAAAAATTCTACCGAGGTTTCTACATAAGGAAACAGATGAAGAAGCTGAAGCTAGCAAGATGCAGGGAACTGGTCGTCAGGAACAAGTTCGGATTGCGATCTTTTCCCTACGGGTTTGTGTTGACAAATCAGTACGAGCAGAGTTTCAGGCTCACTAATATCATGGACGTGACATACAACAGCAAGCTAGGCGAAGTGGTAATCATGGACACAAGGGGAATTTCTTCGTGGAAAAAGTCGCAGCTTGAAAGGTCAGTTGAAAGACCCTTTCTGTTCGAAAAGTATCAGTCTAAATATCTACGATCAATAGTATACAGTCAAAAAATGAACGTGTTCTACTCAATTTCGAAGGACTATTTTATGAAGGTGATCAACAAAGACTTCGAAGAGATATTCGAGGTGAATGCTCCTGAAGCGAGGGCTCTTTTTATAGTTCTCAATCCAGTCAACGACCACATATGGTCCGTCGGACCGGATGGCGTCAAAATTTGGGCGCTGGTTAAAAGACCCGAACTTAACTGGAACTCAGTCAAAGCCATGGTTAACTACTGGCTGGTGAAGAGATCCGATTTTCCAAACGTCGGCGGAGGATGGACCCTGAATGCTTATTTTGACATTCGAGGCGAATATTTCTTCGCCTGTTCGGAACATTTAATCGTAATGTATGATCTGGAAGGAGCTGAAATTGGCCGAGTCAACCAGTGTCACATGGGCGAAATCACAGGAGTGGATCGAAGTGATAAGAGTGATTTTATCGTCAGTTGTTCACATGATTCGACAGTGAAGGTCTGGAAACCCGTGGAAAAACGTCTTAAGTACGTTTTCACGTTTTACTGCGGAAAGAAATTGACTGGTTTGACTATTCATCCAAAAGACGCAGGGATTGCTTTAGTTTCTTCAGAAGACGGTTTCGTAAAAATACTGTCGTTGGATAGTTTTTCCGAATTAAATAGAGTTCACGTCAGCGATCATAGAATTTTGAAAATGGTCATTACAACGGATAAACAACTAGTGGTAGCCACTGCTAGAAACTGTTTCCTCTTCCATTTGAACTACCATTACAAGTACTGGGCGACAGCGAGAACGCCGATGAAGAGTCTGGAATTGTTGGAATCTGACGGGAAGACGACGCGTGTTCAAGCGGTAGGAACTGATAGTAGCATTCGAATGATCTCGAGCAAGGGATCGAATAACTTCTCGACTGTTTTGCCGCCGCCTAATGTAGCAGCCACGCACAACGTTATCGGTCAGTCATTGTCAAAATTATAATGATTAGTTGAAGATTTCTGGGGAGTTTGTTTTGCTCCTATGTCATTTCTAAATATTGAGATCTAAAAACGTCAATCAAAGTATTTAGATCAGACGTGTACATGAAATCAGAGACTTATGCCTGTGGGATGTAAGATTTTTTGATTTTGTTTTGGAACGTAGTTTTTAAATAGGTCGTCGTTTTTTGTTTGTTTTTTTTTCAGGAAAAATCTTCAGGCTCAAGTTTGATTTTTCGCGGTTTCACGTTCGATTTTTGATATCTCGATCAAAAAAGTGCTAATCATTAAATATTGAAGGAGCTTAAATTATGATGTCTGATTTCTTTCAAGTTCAGTTTTTTTCAAGTTCAGTTCATCTGGTTGGGTTTTTATTGGTTTTTTAAAGCTTGGGTTTTGTACCAATTTGAACAGTTTTTATTTGAATTTGAATTTACCAAGTCTGATTTTCAGTTTTTTTCTTTTTTTTTTCGCTTTTTTTAATATTCAAACAGTTTCAGTTTATGATAAAGTTTATGATATTTTCAGTTGATGATATTTTTTCAGTTTAAGTTTTCAGTTTATGATATTTTTTTCAGTTTTCAGTTTATGATATTTTTTTCAGCTTTTGTTTTTTTTTCCTTTTTTGACATAATAGATTTTGGCCTATTTTATATCGGCTTAGTGGCCTCATATTTTGTCATTCGACGAGGTGTTCGTGTGTGTTAAAGCTTTTTGTTATTCCTAAATTTTTTGGCTTTTTTATTTTCTTTTATTTGGCTTAATAGGTTTCGGGAAAAGGGAAAAAGAGTCATCAGCTTAGTGGCCTCATAGTTCGACGCGCGATTAAAGTTTATGTGTGTGCGTGGTGTGTATGTTTGAGGGTGAGGGGACTTGAATTTTTTCTGCTAATGTTGTTTCGGCTTTTTTACCGTTTGATAAATTTTCTTTCGACGCTTATTTTACATTGGATTACCTTGGCACGTTTTGTTTCAAAACTAGCCTTGTTCATTTTGATAGATATAGCTTTTTTTTAATTTTTTTCTGATGGTTTTCGACTTAGCTGCTTTCTTGTTTTGTATCGCAAGTGGTGCGATGCTCAGCTTCGCCTCTGGGTAATAATTGCGTCTCGCTACTTAAGTGAATTTGTAAAGATTTACAAGATAATGAAACTTTATTTTTTTGCGAAATATAATTGACTGGCCGATTCCCAGGCGTAACGTGTCTGCGGGAATACAGTTTGATGTATGTACTGCTTGACGAGCAAGTTGTGTGGGTTTATACTGTTCGAACCAACCCTGCCTGTCATATAGACGCCTGGAACATGGCAAGACACCAAGAAGAGATCATCAAGGAGTTGTTGGACGGGTATCGCTCAGAAACATTCGTCCGTTTTCCCACCGCGGCCGATTTAGTTTACCCTGTTGTTGAAAATGCTTATGGAGCTGTATCTGTTGTCCCATGTACAACTATAGCTTGTCTAAATTCTAAGCTCAGATTTTTCAGGAAGAACATTGGATACCTGTACACTGATTCTAGTCTCTTTATCCTTGTTGGATTGGAAGACGGACGCATTTTGTGCATGGATCCCTTGACAAGTTGCAAGAAACATGTGGATTTCCGGGTTGGCAAACACCCGATTGAAATGATTCGTAGTGTCAAAGAAAGCGATATCCTCACTACTCTGTCTGTCGAGCAAGTAAGCAAAGCGTTTGTATCAATTTGGAAACTCCCGGACGTTGAGATTGTCAAAGTGGTCTCGACAACCAATGACTGTTTGAACTACTCAGTCGTAGCCAGAACTCTGATGACTGGACATGCGTCTGGAATTCTGAACGTCTATCTTTGGAACACAGAGAAAACTAACAAGTCCAAAGATTCAAATGCTGCGAGAAAAAGGTTCAGAGGGGCTGTGAAAAAGGTGATGGCTGTGCATAGTTTCCAGAAGTTCAGCCATGCGGACTTGGAACCAGATTCGGATGAAGATTATGTTGACCTGGAGAAAGGTCAAATGAAAAGAAAAAACACAGAGCATCAAGGAAGAGTGTTGAATATCCAGTGCAACAATTACCTTCAAGTGTTTCTCTCAATCGGTGAAAAAGACCACATGATCAAAATTTGGTCGAAGAGCAAAACATTACTCAGAGAAGTCTGTCTGGACGCTACATTAAGCAGCGCTTGCTTCGTGTCGAATCTAGGCGACATTGTTTTCTCATACAATCATCACCTGTTTTTCATGAGTAGGTTTTTTCTCTTTCCCGAGTTGAAAGACATAAGAGATGATTATGATCCAGGGAGAGATTTTGAGTCGTACATACACGAAGGATCTGAACTGAGGTTTGGAGCCGTGGCGCAACATCATAAACAACCAGAATCACTGGAGTCCTACCTCATACCATTTTCGTACGCAAAATCAGTCTCAACTTAACGGTGATTTTAAACGTTGACAGTCTATTTAATTGCGAGGTTAAGTGTTGTTTAAAAAGTGGGTCATATATGGGGCGTTTTTAGAGTTTTCTGGAGGGGCGGCGGATTTGCGGGAAAAAATTGTCTACCTTTTTTTAGATAGACCCTTTAGCCGGTGACAGGATCGAATCCGCCTAACTCCGCCCCCTTGCTTTTATCAATAACACGCCATCCCCATCATACCATCAGTGAGAGGCCTAATTTAAAGAAAGCGTTTATCCATAAATCCTTGAAAAAAACGATAAAAGGTTAATTCGATTTTTCACCTGCCACCAATTTGAGCTCACATTTTTTTTCATTCTATATAGTGATTTTCATCAGTGCTCTCTAATATAGGAATGAATTAATCAGCAATTCACAATAAAACAGTAGCATTCTTTCCTTTATACTGATTTTGCGATTCTTTGCTCTCTTAAATAGCCTTCAGGAGAATTTTTACCAATCGAAGGAGTCCATCATAAAATGGGACCAGGAAGGCCAGCGAAAAGTGGTAATAGATGATGACGGTTCAGTTTCTACAGAAACCTCTTTCGACTCTTTAAGAGCAGATTCGGAAACATACGCATCAATTGGAAGCTTTGCTGAAAACCGATACAGCCATTGGGATATTATAAAGCCCCTTAGCACCATAGATGCATTCGAAGACGACGATTTTTCTACGATTTCGGGAGCGTCGTCGCCGGAACTAGTGAATGACTTTGGTGACGCTTACATGTCCTCGAATCTGACTCGGCGCGACCCGCTACTCGTGGCTGCGAAGTTCAGGTTGCCGAAAATGGTGTCGACGCCAACCCCTCTAAGTCCCATTCTAAAAGACCAGCTGAACGATGTAATAGAAGGGAGCGAAGTCGCAGACGATGATTTGCAACAGCAAGGTGAGTCCATTTAAACATAACTCTTACATAAATAATTTCCAAGGTTTTAATCTGAAATCTATTATGCGTTTTGTAATCTGGATTTGGTTGGAAGACATTAGACGAGAAAAGTGATATCAAAATACTTCTGATGAAGGTATGTTTCAAATTATATTTTGCTTCTTACAGGCGCCAAAGAGTCACTCGAAGTAATTGATAAAAAAGACGAAACGATTGCCGGTGAGCCAGAAAACGAGCAGGCGAAACCACAGGTATCAATTCCAGTGCATCTTCCGATACCACCAGCGAAACCGGTGATTGAACGGAAAACGCCGACAACTACACCGGTTAGTGATCATTTTTGTTCCGACTACTGGGAGAAATTTTTTCTTCGTGTTGGTTTTAGATTTTTTTTTAACTCTTGCGATAAGCATGGGTATTGCAATCGGGCACTAGACTTTTTCCCCGTAAATAACTTGTTCACAGAATAGTCATTCTAGTTGGAATGGTAAATATCACTTCAGACAGCATTTAAATTGTAATAAGGTAAAGATTGTTTTAGGTTGTAATCAATTTTTCGAAAAAAATTATTCTGTTGTTTTTGGGGTTCCTTGTTTTCGCCCTAGTTTCTGTCGGTTCGTTTTCCGTTTTTTGTTTTTGAAAAGCCATTTTTATCTGGTATGTTTTTTATCGGCTTTTTTCTGAAGCATGGGTTTTGCTCCATTTTGCCAAGACTAATTTTGCGTGTTTTTTGTTCATTTTTTTGTTATTTTGATTGAGTCAACTTATATTGCTCAATTTTTGTAGTATTTTCCACTTTGTATTTGCGGGGACACTAATACTAGGTGTTCTACAATCCCGAAAGGGTTATGTTGGTGGTCAGACTAAATTGGCCGATCAATGGGTTACGCAACACCCCCTTTTGTTAGTGCTCTCTTCGACTTTACTTTGTCCTTTCTAACTAGTTCATCAAATCGGGGCTCAATAGGTAAATTCTTCTTCAATCACAGAGGAAACAAAAAGTAATTTACAGTGCCCTTAATGGGCTAACTACTATTAACTACTTATTTAAAAAGCCCGCGTCTCGTTTCGTTCAATCGCTTCGCTAACTAGCCCGTCGGACCTCGCTCGACCCAATGCCAGAATCGCCAACGATAACTAACTCTCGAGCGCAACTCGCTCACACAAATATTTCCACCCGGTACTAAACTCGGGTCCTAATCAGCCAGACTAACTAACTAACTATGAGACACAACTAGCCTCGCTTCAAGCAATAGCGTCCTCCACGGACCAACTACTCTTCTCGGCTTGCTCAATCGTTCTCACTCTAACCGAGAACCAACTACTCTCAATAGTAATTATCCCTGTTCTCTAACTCTGACCGAGAACCAACTACTCTCAATAGTAATTATCCCTGTTCTGCCAAAGGGTAGGCTACTTGTTATTCTCTTATGATGTTTGTCTATTTGAGTTTTAGTTATAGTTAGAGTTATGCCGTCCCTAAAAGTCCTGACATTTACTTTGGTACCCTTTTCGTAAGGTCTTAACTGAATTCTTCCTCTGACGACACTAATCTGAAGTTCCAAGTTCATTAAAGGCATCTCTAACTAAGTTGTGCAAATATCAAGTCCAATTTAACCTCCAAACCGAATTATGTTTAATTAACCAATCTTCCCAAGGTTTTTATTTAATTATCCCATTAACGTTCCAACCTGCCAGGGGTAGGGGAAGACCCTTTTTATGGGTCGCTAACTCATCCTAAGCATCTTAAATTTCTATCTATAATCTATTCTGCTCCCGACCTAGCTATCAGGGAAACGTAATTCGCTTATTGGGGATCGAATTGTGCCAAAAGCCAACTACGGGGAGCTAAGTAAATATCTCATTCATTCATGTTATTTAGGTGTCCTACTTCCCATGCTATGCCTCAGTTACTGTCAATTCCCTCTGGGACTACTTTTCTTTTACCCTGATTGCTATTCTCTTAATAGCGCATTCGCCAAGCTAGATTGACCCCGATGTTTGCCAAGTTCACTTCAATTGATTCAAAACTAATTTAATTATACAATGTAAAAGCTAAATCTCTTTCAGCTTCTCAATTATTCCCCAATAGGTAAGTTCCCTCCCAAATAGTAGTAAGGTGACCGATTCTCATTCTCAAGGGTTGGGGTCGAATGAATACGCCTCTTTCCGGTGTTAATCCCGAGGTTTTCATACAAATTTGGTCCTAAACGCCTACAGGTCAATTTGAGGTCACCCGAGGTCCATCTTCCATATTCAGGTATAAAATTCCATTGGGGTCCTAACTACCAAGTTTCATCCATATCCCGTAAATACTTCCCAAGTTATCCCATTTCTAAGGTCCATTATCATTTCTCCCGGTAAAGGCAATTAACACCGGAAGGAGTCGCCGGAGGGGTTTCAATCAGAAGAGGTCTTTTTTCGGGGATGAGTTGTAGTATCTGATGCCGCCATAAAATCGATATGCCCTCCCTCTTTATTTTGCGTAAATTGCCTTTTTCCGGTTTAAGGGGTGGTTTTCCAAAGTGCTAATAACTTCTGGTTCAGCCGCTGCATTTGGTTCAATTTATAACAACATGTATCTTGCCACTACCTATGCTATCCCAAAGTTTTAGCTTCCTGCGTTCTGTGGGGTCCAAGAATCAACTCCCGGAAGTCGGGGTGGGGTCTATTTGCATAGGCCATAAAACCGGAAGTAGGGGTCCAAGGGGTCTGGGTTTCTAAACTTAAGCTTCCCTCAACTAGGTCTATAACATACTATTTTTTGGTTCCGTTCCAACCGCTAGTTACCGTGTTCTGATAGGGCCATTTGCACTTCCGGGAACCGTTATCACTTGGGGCCGGGGGGTCCGAGGGTTATGGATTTTGCATGCCCGGGTCAAATCATCTCTAGTATCCGTCCTATGAGTTTCATAAACCTAGCCACTGTAGATCCCATTTGGGGGGTTTGCAAATCTTACTTCACTTGCATTTTCTGCCATAGGAGGGACTATATCTTCGAAGATTCAAACTTATTTTGGGTATGACTATTTGTTTACTTTTCTACTTATTGTATTGATTTGTCGATACCGAGCTCATTAGCCTTCACTACACTGCACACATTTCCCAAGGTAAAACTCTCAGCCAAAGTCTGAGTTCAGCAAAAAGTGTTAGGATCACCGATCTTACAATTTTGATGGTGAAATTTTCTCGTATAGGGTTGTTTCACTATGGATAGCTCATAGAAGTTTTCAAATCTACATGAAATTTTTTTTGACAAGTTTTGTTTTCGGCTCAACAGGTTTCGACCTAAACTTTGTCGCCTTTGTTGGCGCTCGGTGATTGATTTTCAATTATTTTTGTTCATGATTTATGTTCATGATTTTTATCCGATGCAGCCATGCGAGTAGTTTTTTCAACTTGATTTTTCAGAATATTTTTCGAGTTCTGTCTTTTTTTCATTTGACTTTTTTGTGGCGCAATTCAAGTTTCTTTAAGCTGGTTCATTACTGGCTTTATCTTCCGCCACAGGTATTCATCAAAATGAGTTTCATTTTATGACAAACTTTTGAAAATTTTGGTGTTGTTTTTTTTGGCGTTTTGTCATTTTTTGAACGATTTGGTAGCTTTGTGTATCGCAAGTGGTGCAAAGCGCAGTTTCACTTCGGTTTAAAAGTTTTTTTTTCACGCAAATCAGGTACCACCATTCATAATCGGAAGAGTCGACTAATATATCAGATCAAAGCCCTTTCAGTCATGATTCTAACGAGTTTAAAATATATCTTCGAATTTTTTTTGCAGGGTTGAGACGAATCGGAAAATTTCGATTTCTAGTCTGATTTCGAGCGAATAAAGCGATCAAGCATGCTTATTGTAAGAGGATACGCTTTTATTTAAACTTCGAAAAAAAATTTCAGTTAAGTTAGTGTTTGAAGTTTTGTAATTTTACTTTGACTCGAATATGCGGAAGTTGTAGGCTTTTGTTCAGATTCTCTCATCACACGAAACAAGATAGACAAAAACACAATTTTGTAAAAAAAAAGAACTGCTTTTTTAGGTGGGAACATTCTTTTTCACAGAAAAGTCTAAAATTTGTTCGTGCTGAACTATGATTTTTTGGCGGTTTGCTTTTTGATTTCTATTCAATTCAAATTCATTTGCTGAAAGGAAGGCAAATTACGCCGGTGGAAACAAAAATTACCTATTGATCCAGTTTTCTCAATTTAGATTAGATTTATCAAAAAATGGTCAATTATAAAAGATCCTCAAAACTCAAAGAGCCTTAAGAGGATATTTTTTTCAGTCTACTTGACTTTCTCGATTTGTCCGTTGCTGGCTTTTTAAAAAAAAAATTTGACGTAGGCTCTAATCAAAACGTTGCTCATTAGCAATGTCTTTTTAGATCTCTCGTGCTGCCTCAAAATTAAGTGTCGTGACGCCGACGCCATCAACACCATCACAACCAGCTACCTCAGAAGCTCGTACCATTCCTCAAATCATGAAGAAATCTGCGACCCGCAGTGGTCGAGTAAGTCTTGCAAACAGACGAGTACGTCGAGGAGTAACCTCGGACCCTGAAACTGAAATACCCGACGACAGAGGAATGGATGCAACTGGTAGTGCGGTCATTGTTGACCGGAAAACATCAAGCTCATCGGCTAAATTGACTGCAAAATCAGCTAAAGTTTCAAAGAAATCAGTCTCAATCGAGCCGCCCCCATTACCAACTATTAAAGATATACCACAGGGAGCTGAAATACAAGATGCTGAGAAGCATTCCATCTCTTCTAGAAGTTACTCTGCTATCCAAGTGCCGCGCTCGTTTGAAGATACTCATGGACCACCTAGTATTTCGATTGAAGATGTTAACCACACAGATATTGACCACACAATCAAAGTATCTTTCTCGTCAAAGATGGATCCTAGAACAGACGTTAAGGGAACGGAAACCGAGGATTTGCGCGAAGCCGCTGACTTCAAGAGTTCGCAGAACCAAACTGAGAAAGTTGAAACCTTCGGGATTAGTTTGAAAGAGAATGATGGGTACTTCAAAACCTATGATAAAGCGGCGCTGGCGGCAGAGAAAAATATGCAATGGGTCGAAAAAACTCTTCTGAAAAACGAATTAAGGCAAAGACTGAAACAGCAAAGGGCGGATGCAGTGAAAAACAAGAAACTGCAAGACATGTTTAACGTGTGGTACAAGAAGCAACAGTTCGAAGATCGTCAAACATCAACATCTGCAGAAGCGTTCTTCAAAATCCTAGCCGCGGATTTCATAAACCATATAGTAGGCAGTGGTATGGCTATAGACGAACAATCTTTGCCTGTTGCGCTTAGAGAAATGCTGGCGTGTCGCATAGCAGAACAGTCGAAGCTAGCCGAACAATTCGAGAATGAAAAAGCTGCGAGGCCAGGCGCAGGAGAAAAACTAAGCGATTCTACCAAATCTGATCTAGTAAAACCAGCTGGACCTTATCGAGTGCCAAGCATGTATGATATAGAACGTCAGAAAAGCACTGCAAAAGAGTTGGCACCAAATAATGACGATAGTCGGTTCACTGTAGAGCCTGGAGATAATTCTTTCTTGCAGGCGACTAATTCTAGAAGACAGTCATTGGATCTTATCCGCGCCTCTTCGGCCGGGGCAAAGTCTAGGTCTGCTTCTAGGTTGTGCAAAAGGTAATCATAAATACTTTGTAATAAATAAGCTTGATATTTTGAAAATGTGGTGAATTTGTGACGAAAAGTTGTTTTTTTTTTGCTGCAAATAGCGTGTGAAAATAAGCAATTTAAAGGCAATTTAACTTGCGAAAAATTGCAATTTACCTTTGAGATTGATTTTTCTGAAAGCTGATGTTTGTACATGTCAATGAACAACGTGAAGATACTTAATTGGGTCGGGCGGGTAACTTCGTATAAAAATGCCAAAATCAAAACTAGGTTTATGGAATTATATGGAGATTAGTTTTTTTAGTTTATTTTTGCATCTTAGTCGCTATTAACTTATTTCCAATTGTCAGTTGGCTACTTCAATTTTTTAGCGCCAGTGCTGCTCGTAAACCATCCGCCGGGATTATTACTGATACAATTCGCCGAAACAGTTTGTCGGAAAACGTCAGATTAGAAAGAAGGCCCGCGACAACAACTAATGCGGGAATGCGGCGTCGAAAACTTACAAAGGAAGAGTTTAATATTCAGAGAGTTCAGTCGGCGAAATCGATTCCGAGCAAATGCACAGAATATTATCTGGTGCGAATGCGACCCGCTTCCTCGTCACAATTTGTAGCGCCTTCAAAAACGGAAAAAAATCTGCTCGCGAAACGTTTTCCACATATTTACGAGCAAGCAGTAGGATTAGCACGTGGAACCTACTCTGCGCCCCAAAAATGATTAAACTGAAATAAACCTCGAATAATAAAAAAAATAGTTACGCTCGTATCAGTTTGATGTAAGTTCAAATGGGAGTTAGAATTTATATTTTGAAACAAAATAACCTAAAATAAACAAGCATATCATCTTAAATTTACTTAATGTTCATTTCTGAAGAATATCAAGCTGGAAGTGGCCTTGCAATTCAAGGTGTCACTTACAGAAATTGATGAGGTCAAGAGCTTATAATTTTGACCAGATTCACTGCTTTAACCATGGGGCAAATAAGTTGCAACGTTTTGGTTTCAACGCTCAAATGAACATTTTTTGCTACAGTTTTTGTGTGGTGTTCAGTACAGCTATTAACTTTGCCACGTGGTAGATGAAACTGGAGCTTACCGGAAAATGTGACAATTTTTTGAAGGTGGAAAGTGGTTAGTATATCATAACTAGTTTCAGAGGTGTTCTTGCTGTGGAACCATCCTCGCAAACAACACATGGAAATTCAATTAAGGGGAATTTATTTGGTTGTTTTGGAAGCTGATAAGTTGGACTTCTTATATAAGTCGCGGAAAATGACGTATAGGATCGTTGAAATTGTTACTTGGCCTGGCGTCAAAAAAAGATCGAAGCTGTTTTGACGATATGGACATCAAAGTATTGGGCTCATTGATTAGAATATTTTTGAAAAACTTAGGGACGATGCTTAGTTTCTTTGCTTGATTAGTTCGCCCGAAAAAAAATAATTTTTCGCGAGATTTCAATTTACCTGGTATATTTCTAATCATCGTTGGATTCAGTTTTGAGTCTAGATAGTTCTTCCGAAGTTTTTGTCTGACGTACTTGCTCGTTTTCATTTCCAAAACCAGTTACAATTTTTTTTGCTGTATAACAATCAACATCTAGCTCGAGTTCTTTGCAGTTTTTTCAGAACGCTGTTCGAAAAAGAGATCGAAAAACAACTGAATCAGTTTTAACAAAATCAGTTCTTTGCTTCAGACCTTGTTCGCAGTTGATTTTAGGTTTTTTTTTCGCTGGAAGCTTGCTTAAAAAGTCGGCAGTTTTTGCGAACTTATTTAAGCTATTAAAACAACTTGAATAGTTGCAAGTTTCATTGCTTGAACAAGTCGCTCAATATAAATTTTTCGCCAGTTTCCAAAACAACCTGATATATTTATGTTCAACGTTGGCACAACATGCTTGAAAATAAAACAAATTTGTATGAAGCATCTCTTTTTTTCTAAACTATTTAAATCATTGGAATTATTTCAGCGGTGCAGTCGCTTGCTAGAAATAACTACTTTTTTGTGAGCTGATTGAAACTATTTAAGCTTGCGATTAGCAAGCGTTGTCAAACTGGAATATAGACTTTTTTGTAGTTACAACTAGTTAAACAAAATCACTGAATCGTTTCTGCCTCAACCAAACATGCTCAATTTCTTGAAAATTCAAATTTAACTACCGGGTACGAATGGTACTATTGGATGGCTAAAGGACTACGCACAAATCCGGTCAGAACCTGTTTTTTTTTAAACCTAAAATGTTAAATATCAAAAAATGATCGGCCTATGGGTTGTCTCTTTATGGTTTGTCGGCTTAGTTGCTAAAATTTTTACCTTTCTTGTGTAAAATTTTTTTGTAACTGAAAGTGTTTTGTGATTCTCTGGTGAAATTTGTAATGTTTACACTTGCGAGAAACAAGTTTACACTCCCGTAAAACAAGTTTTATACATTTGTACTTGAAATTGATGTTGCTTTTTTATCGAATCTTAGCAACATCTAGGCCTCATTGCACTTGGTATGGAGGTAATGCAGTTGTTTGAAATCGAAGCTCAGGAGGTTGAGTCCCGGCCGGACGTTTTTCAGTGTATCACGTTTAAATTTTACTTCCGGGAAATACTGATTTAGTCGGGTTATAGTTTGTCGGCTTCGTTGCCACCCCAAAGTTTTTGCGCCGTTACCAGTTTTCATTATAGTATCAATTTTTTTTATTAGCTCCTGTAGTTTTTCAAAATTACTATACCTGACTGGTATCTTTTTCCTGCTTTTTGGTTTTTTAGCTTAGAAATTTTATTCGGCGTAATTGATATCGGCTCTTGTTTTGTCGGTTTCAAATTATTTCGGCTCTCGTTTTGTCCGTTTAGTGAACTTATTTTCCATCTGTATATGGATAAAAGTGATTTTTCATGTTTTTAGTAAATCTTTTCGGCTGGTGGTATAAAGGTTTATAAGTTCAAAATTTTTAAGTATTTTATGCGAACAATTTCCTTTCATATTTGTTGTTTTTGGATTTATTGTCGTCTAGCTACGAGTTATCGGCCTAGTGAACGCTTAAAAATACTAAAAGCTTCTTTTATGCAAATAGCTGTTTTTCAGAGAATGAAGTTTTCGTACTTCAAAAAATGTTGATATTTTATAACAACCATTTCCTTTGGTGGCATTTTTGTTTTCAGATCAATTGGCGTCTAACTACGTGTTGTGGCGTAGTGGACGCTTGGGAAATACTAAAATCTTGCTTATGGCTAGTGGTTGTGTTTGTCGTCTGTTTTTCTGAGATTAAATTTTTCGTAATTGTTGATTTTTAGGACAATTTCCTTTGCCACATTTGTTTTGGGATCGTTTGGCGTCTAACCACGTGTTGTTGGCTTAGTAAACGCTCGGAAAATACTAAAAGCATGCCTTTTCTTCTGGTTGTGTTTCACGTCTGTTTTTCTGTGATCGAATTTTTGGTATTTGCAGTTTTTTTTTCACGCTTTGTTGTTTCCATCTCACTGACCATTTAGTAGCTTGCAATGGTGCGCTTTCCTTGTATCAATTTAACCGCCTGAATATGCTCGAAAAGACCTTTTTCACGCGAAACTAGTTGGGATATCAAGTTAATTTGAAAGATATAAAAATTTCCTTATTTGAGCAGCTTTTGTTGCCTGAAATTTTTGTTGCCTGAAATATTTAATTTTATGCTTAATTATGAAATATTTACTGTTACCTTTCAAGCTCTCCCAACATATTGGAGGTTTCAACTGCTGGAATTAACTTTTTGCGTTTGAGTCGAGTTTTCAAAACAGCTCAAAATTTTAAAAAGTTTGAATGCTTAAGTAGCTTGCTCGAATTAACTAATTTTTTGTGGAATTCCTCAAGCTAACAAAGCAACCTGAAGTTTCTCGTTGCTGGAAATGAACTTCTTGCCGCAAACTATTTTGGTCGTTTAAAACAATTTGAAATAATTCAAAATTTTATTACTTGAAGTCTTTCCTAGAAAGTTTAATGGCTTTGTGCTTTCTTGAAAAACCTGATTTTTAACAAATTGCTTCGAGTTCACAAATAAGTTTTTTCGGAAATTTTTTCAAATTGTCAAAGTAAGTTTAGAAATAGTTAAATTTTATTGATTGAAAAGACTGACCAGCTCACGCTATCAAGTAATTTGGAAGCATTTAAAGTTCTTTTGCTGGAATTAAATTATTTTTCCGAAGCGATTCGAGCTATCAGAACCATCTGAATTTTTTCAAAGTGTACATTCTTCTTGTTTGAAAGACTTGAATCATTTTTAGCTATCAAAAGCAACTCGACATTTTTCGAGCAAAAGAAACTCGAAACTTGATGGAAGTTTTTGAAATTTTCTGAAATTCTTGCTTAAAATTTTCTGCAATTCTTGCTGATATATATGTACCATTGCTGATATTTTCGCCCTTTTGCAACAATTTTGAAACATCAAGTTTTGATCACTGTTTCAAGCTATCAAAATCAAGTTGAAACATTTCAAAGTTTATCCTTAGAATTCTAATTTTGATACCTTGATAGAATTCCAAAGATCTGACATTTTACTAAGGATAAACTTTGAAATGTTTCAAGATCTTTGGAATTCTAGCAAGGTATCAAAATCAAATTGAAAACAATTCTCCTTAAAACCAAACCTATTTTAAATGTGAAACTTATGTTTTGGCGAAATATAACTAGGATATTTTCAGAAATTTGTCTCATTGAGTCAATAGGTTGCATAAAAAGCCAACTTTTGGATAATCAATTAAAGCTTTGAAAATTGACTTGAAAAATTATGTGGCTTCAATTGTTTTCTTTAAAAAAAAGATTTCACGCTCCATTTCGAGCCTTAAAAATCAATTTTGCATCCCTTAAATATCTTTTTTGAAAACACCAGGCTATCAGAACGAGCTTGCCGGGATCAATTTACTTGCGAACGAATTCTTGCCATCTAAATCGACTTGATTTTCAAACAGGGTATTTAGACTAGCATCAGCTTATTGTATCATTATGAACCTTCTTTTTGTTCTAACCTAAGTCGCAAATATGAATGCCACTTTGAGGCACATTGTAGTTGTAAGGTAATACAGTTGATGCATGTTTAGTTCATCAAATGAACCGAATAAAGCTATTTATTTCAAACAACAATAATAAAACTCGATCTCAGAAATTTTTTAACTGAATATATCGCGCAATTTTTTCTAATGCATAATTTATACATAATGTGGCTTTATGCTTTGCGATTTGTTACATGCAAAGTTAGTTTGGATTCCTTCATTTTGTTATATTCCAAATTATTGCTTGCAAAATTGTGCCTTTGTCTTGGGGGGCATTTTTGCTGAATCGCATTAGCAATTTCTTAGCATATGTAGCTGTTTTATTCGTGACTAGTGTTTGCCGGCGGTTAAGCGTGAGTGGTTAGTGCGTGAGGCGCAAAATCTTTTGATTGCAGTAGGTCACAGATCGAATCTTAGACCTAGCCGAATTTTTGCTAATTCGAGGCTTAATTCTATTTTTTCTTATTTCACTTCCTAGAGCTGCTTTTTTCGTGGCCTCGCTTGTGTTTGCGAAGCGAAGCTTCGCCTCTCTCGCAAGATGAAATTGAAGCTAGTTCAAACCATCAATAGAAACACGAAGTTTTGTGTCCCACCAATTGAGTAGCAGTAAAGTATCGAACATTAAATTATCGAATAACAAAGTTTCGGAGCCTAAAAGCTTGAAAGTATTTGCAAACAAAGAAGGTTTCCGGGAGCGTTAATTTAAAAAAAGATATACTACTTTGCGAAATGATTCAAGCTATCAGAACAGCTTTAGTTATTCCAGAGTTTCAACTTGGCGTTTATGAGCTGGTATGAAAAAGATTTCCCTTCGCAAAGTAATTGAAGCTATTAAGGCATATAGTTCATAATTTCATTGTTTGAAATTTTCCTGAACCAAATTAAGCTATCTGAAATCAACTGGTTAATATGCGTTTCATGGTTTGAATAGCTTACGTGCAAAATGTTTTATGTTTTTTTTAGCAAAATGATAAAAACAAATATACAGATGAATATAATTTCATTTTTCGCAGCAACTTGAACTGGGTTTGTGGTTTTATGTATGTCGTTTTAAAAACATAGTTATACTTCCTTGAGGCTCATATAGAGCTGCAGTTTAAGGCTAACTGGAGCTCACTCAATCATGATGAGCTCATTAAGCTATGGTTATCTTGAAAGTATGATTTAAATCCTGCGCAAGTCCGATTTGAACCCGCAATCATATTATTACTGATCACTATCACTATGCGCCCATACGACACATTTATGAATGTGAAATTTGCCTCGATAATTTTTTTGAGAATTTCTTAAGTCCATATTTTCTCAATGTTTTGGTAGGCAATCGGTCGCTTTAACATTGAAAGATTGGAAAATTAATATAGTCTAAAAATTAATTAGCGTAGGGTTGTGAACATGATGCAAAAAAAATTGAGTTTTGACTAAAAAATATGCGAAATTTTTTGTCTTTACGAACTGCTATTGGTTTATAAGTTTTTTTTAACTGTTTCAGGCAACTTAACCGATTGTTACGACGAGTTAGGCAACAGGTACCAGTTGCCTGTCTACCTCCTGTCAAATCCCATTAACTTCATTGACGAGGCGAAATCTCCGACTAGTGGAGCGAATTCTGGCTCTGCGGCGTCTAATCTAGCAGCCGCTCTGCAAAACCCAGAGTCGCTTGGTAAACCAGTGCAATATAAAATCAGAATATCTTCTCTGCCACAAGACTATCACTTTGTATCACTGCGTGAAAAAAGCACGGTCTATCATGGCAAATTCGAAGTGCATAAAGTGCATGGCGTCGACATTAAGTGCCAGCGGTGGTTTTACGGGGGAAAAGTTTTGGTGGATAGCTGCAAACTGAAAGACTTGAAGATCACGGAGGACTATCTCATTCAAGTCATAGATGTATCGCCCTTAAAATCGTTTGGCGATGACAACTCAGATAGCTCGAAAAAGGTTAAAACTAAGAAAGATGTAGATAAGTCGACGGCAATCGCGACGATAGAGATGACCCGTGAAAATGAACCCACATCCTCGGATCCCTCGAACGCATTTAATGGAACAGGGGATGTAGCCGGTGTTCCTGCTAATGTCCAAGATTTCTCGAACACTACGACTGAAATTCCGAACGATGAGTGTAACTCGGATGCCAAAGTGAATAAAATGATGTCAGATGTTGGCGGGAACAAAGGCGAAGAGAAGATTGCTTTGAACGTGATTGGTCAGTCTCAAACGACAAATCAGGACGGAGATGGCCCTCAAACGGAATCTACAGCTGCTGAACTGACTTAAGAAACAATGGAATGAATTTTGCAATCAAAGATTTTTTTAAAAAGAGGATAGGATTTTTCAAATAACTTTTAAAATTAGATTTCAACGAAGATTGTCTGAATGATGATTTTTTCGAAGGTTGATAATTTGCTCATTTATTTTTGTCGAAGTCTTATTGTATTTGGTCACTTCCCCCCTCTGAGCTACGAGCGTTTCGATATCTTTTCTTATTCCTTTTTCTCATTTAGTTCTCAATTCTATAATTTGTGATGGATCACATTTCAATGGCTTCCTTTGCGTCATGAATGTAGCTAAACTCTAAAATTCAGTTAGCAACTACTATTTGTTTTTTGACTTAAAGCTTTGTGTGAATATAAGGAAGCCAATCAGTTTAAAATTTTGTTTGTCATTTTGTAACTTGAAAATGTATGCCGAAAAATCTCAAAATCGACAGTTTTGTAATGCCAATTCATTAAAATATAAATAATTTGACATTTCTTGTTATGTGAATATCATGTTCAAAATTTCCATGCTTTCCCATATTTCTCATCGTCATATTCATGCTTTTGACGAATGTAATTGGATGAATTTTTGCTGTAAGTAGGTTAAAGTTTAAGCTACTGAATTATGGTTACTCAATCATTCCTCCAAAAATTGATGTCATGGGGGAATTTTCTTGGGGTTGGAGCGGGGAAATTTTGACAGGTGAAAATTGTATGTGTCAGTTCACCTCCACAGTTTGGATTATGTGGTGGGATTTCAACCGGGAATCAACTTACCTAATAGGCCAAGATCTTGATTGGCTACTATTGCTCTGTTTGTGGCTGTTTTGTATAGGTAGATTACCAATTCTATCTGAGAAGTTGTATTCAGTAGTTTTTTCTCTCTTCAGTGATATAATATCTTGTCTCGAGCAGTGAAGTAACTTTCCTTAAATGTTATTAGATTGTTAAATTGTTACAGTTTTTTCTTCGGCACTTCTCCCCCAAATAAAACTTGAATATTGAGTTTTGAAGTCTGCAGGGAAATTAGAGGAGGCTCTCAGGATATATTAATAGAAATAAATTGTTGGTTTTTCGTTTTTTTAAGAGTCGATCAACGTAGTCAAAGAAATCAAATTTCAAACCGCGAAAACGCAAAAGTGAGCCTGAACAAATTTCAAGATTTTTCTTGAAAAAAAAAATCATTGCGACCTATATAAGATTTTGTATATAGGTAGCGATGATTTTTTTTGATTTTGTTCAGGCTCAATTTTGAATTTTCGCGATTTGACTCTTGATTTCTTTTGAAGTTCACTTCAATTCATTTTTTAAAAGGAGGGCAAACTCCACTATCGAACAGCGAAAGTGTAAAGGTCACGAAAAACGTGATCGACTTCTAGTTTTGAAAATTTTACTTATGCCAATCGTAAATTTTTCTGGAAATCAAAGAGCTTTAAGGCCATCTATTTTTTTTTGAAATTCAAAAGTTGAGGTTTTTGCGAAAAGTAGGACCATATTTTTTTCTGTTTACTTGAGTTCAATGACTCTTTTCCAACTGTCTGTTGGCTATGTTTTTCATTACAGCCTCCGAGTCTAGTGACAAAAACTTATATCCACCCAATTTATTTAACTACTATGGCGGGCTTTAATTTCACTGCCGCACTATGAGGAGGGATGGAATCGGGATAAATGTAAAAACCCGTATTTTAATCGTATGATCTGCGTACATTTTCAGACACTTTTTGTGGAGCTCAATTTGCTCAATTCTACTTAAGAAAAAACGTTAAAATGGGTAACCGGCTGTTGTAAATTGCATATCAATATTAGTTTTTTTGAAAATTATGATATGATTGGCGTTTGTGCTGTATTTGCAATTAGGTACTTATTGCACAAGCCAACGCTTGTGTTATATTAAGAGTAGCCGTTTTATCCGCTTTATTAGTGGCTATTGTTATAACAAATAAGCAAGATTATGAAACCGAGTAAAGCTAATACAATTGAGAAAACTCGCGATAGCAGGACAATATCATTTTATACTGGAGAACCAGTCTCGACAACCTCAAAAGTAAACCATTGTTTTCATGTGCACTAATAACATGAAAAAATTAATTGTAATGAAACATGAATTATTTGTTGAGATTTTTGAGATTTTTTGAATTTGAGATTTTGTGAAAATTATCCCCCCACGCCATATAAGGTACAAAGTGATAGATTTCGCTTCTAGTAACAAAGCAGTTATGGCAAATAGCTTGTTTCAATCAATTTGGAACGATTTCTAAGACTGATTAAATCTCCGCTTACGCGTTAATAGCGCAAAATGTATCACGTGTTAATAGTCCCGAATAAGCCAAAATGGCAATCTTTAAACGCCCATACCTTGACGAGAAATGATCGCAGGTAAAATATCTCAAACTTGAACTCATCACAACATAACTTTTTGAATGATATTTTAAAAATTCCATCAAAACGACGAGTTAAAAAGACGAAATTTGTCTGAAGAAAAAACCCACCCCGAGCACAAATATTCCGCTGCTTTCGTTACGAAAATCGGAACAAAAATAAAATTCTGAAATTTAACATATTAACAATATGCCTGAATTGTCGCCTAGATGAAATTACTTAAATATTGTGCCAATTTCATTGTTGAATGAAATTTTTGTCTCGATTTGTCGAGAATAGTACTTCATGCTTCGAATTGATCCAAAGTTAGGGGAACCCTGATAATTTTGAACCCCCCTCGCAATGAAATACCGTTGTTTGAGGGCAAGACAACATTACCCAGCCCAGAAAATTAAAACATTGCATGTAGTTTTTAAGCAGAGGCACAACAGGGGGTTCTCCGTGAAGAGCTGAACAGCTCGTATGTTGGTCTTGTCCCTTGTGGATAAAGGTTCTTAAGCAATTTTGATTATATTTGTTCTTCTCACTTGACATCGTAACATCACGCATTTAGCCAAAACACGACTGCTCGTATCAGGGCTAGCCCTAAATGTTCCGACTGCCCTTTAATTGGTATCCGATAGTTTGGTTACTTGAATATAGGCGAATCTATGAATTTTAGGCTGATAATATCAAACAGTAAGTGTTGCAATTTCAGTCGTGTATGAGTTGATGAAACCAATAAGCTCCCTCAATTCTATTTTGTAGTGCGGGATAATAAAAGAAATAGTTTTAGCCATACGCATGGCAGGTTACTATAGTAGTGTGCACACTCGGCTTGCCACATGCAGATCAAGAGATGGATCCACCGACGGACCATAATTTTGTCTAACTAGTCTGAATTAAAAAAAACCACCCCAAGCATATATATTCCTCACTTTGATTGAAAGTCGATGCAATAACACGTACAACAACTATAAAATTAGAACAAGCCGGTCAGGTCTGCGTCCCACCCTCCCTACTTTGGAATGATTAATTCGTACTTCCAGTCTTAATATGCGCACGCGCACATTCAGGTAATTTTGAATGGATGGTAGGGCAGCTGAAAACGCTCCCTTCGGGCACATTTATAATGCTGTCAAAACGACATGGTTTAAAAAATCAACAACGATTTTTTATTTCCGTTTTTTGGATTATTCTCAGTCGAATGCTCATCTACTGTGCCCTAAAGGTCTCACAGAGCATCCTACGAATTTGTCAATATAAAAGTTACAAAAATTGTTTTTTGAATTTTTTTCATAATAGTTTCAGCAATTGTTTTATTTTTTACAACATTTCATGAATATTTGCGGCAGCTTACAATGAGTGTTAGTAGTTCAGACTTTCCATCTGGCTAAATCTGACCTAAACTACTGCATCAAATGTAGGATAGATCTAATTTCAAATTTCCTTTTTCCTTCTCAAATTTCCTTTTTCCAAAACGACCAAATGAAAAATTATAAAACCAAAAATAAACAAAAAAAAACTTTTCAGCTGTTTTGCCGACATTAACTTCCTATTACCCAACGGAAAACTCGATTAGGTGTTTCCCTTGATACAACCCAAAATTAGGTCTTTAACCCAAAATTAGGTCATTAAGTCGATAAAAAATAGGCCGAAAAAGTTTAGGCCGAGGAATTTCTTTAGCGAAACAAAAAAAAACGAAGAAAAAATACGAAGTCAAGGCAAGTAAAGTTTCATTTTGTACTAAATCAAGCAAAACCGATATATAAAAAAAACGAATCGAAGATGACACAACTGAGCCGTCAACAGATAAGCAGAGAAATAATTGGCCGACAATTTTATTTGAAACAAAATGGAATTTTACAGCCTTTCATTAACCAGAATAGGAATGATGCTCACAAGTATCGATCAAAAATAAATGACTAATCAATTAAACAAATAATTTTACCAAGAACGTACGTCGAAAGGATGTAATATTTAGATCCAAATCAATTTGCTGTCAAGTTAAAATGTTGTAAAAGTTTTTCAAGAAGGTAAATCATCACAATATTTCGTTCAAATAACTTTTGATATAACACATCAAATGAATCGAACTCTATCAAAGACATATGTCAGATAAAGTGAAAACTACCCATCGAACAGATCTAACGGAAATTTTGCATGTTACAAGCAAGATAGTGACAGGATACAACAATATCGATTAAAGACACCATTGCACAGCCAAGCTTCACCAAAAAAGAGGAGTTCAAAAAAATGCTTTTGGAAAGGAAAAGAAATATCGACGTAAAATTCACTAGAAGTTTAAAAACTTTGAACTTGAACGGAGAAATCAGGAAGAACTGCAAACTTGATCAACGTTCTCCGACCATTTGTGTTTTTCCAGGAAGTTACATGCAAAATTTTTCAAGAGGCAAAAATTCTCACTTGAATGAGTAAAATTCACAAAAATAATCATAAAGTTAATGTACATTAAAAAAAACAGAGGCAAAAACGAATTGAATGAAGATGCATGCTTATTTTTTTTAATGAAACTTAAAGCATGAAAAGCACTTAAACAAAATCAATCAGATTCTAAATTTTTCAAAAATGTGCATAACCTTTACGAAATACTACTCAACTATTCCTTTTTTCATGAGGTTTTCTTTGTGTTTCCAATCTTTGTTTAGCATTAAAGGCAATGATTAGAACCTTAATTTACGCACAATTTTCAATTTATACTATTTAATCAAAATTTCTTGAATAGCCATGTGGTATTTTAAACTGATTTCCAGGTTAAAACGATCCTTTCGAATGCTCTGTTAACACAATTGAAAACTAGGATTTTCTCGAGGGGGGGGGGGGGTGATTTTGATTTTCAAAAAAATTTCGAAAACTTTGTCGACCTTTTTTTCGGTCGACCAAATAAATTTTCCGAGCTCTCCCAAAGCAGTAAGAACACCGTTTTGGCGAAAATTTCTGCGCCGCAGGCAAAATTTTCAAAAAACAAAAGAGGCGTTTTATAGGCACTTTTTGGATCATTTTGACCAAAAAAAAAACGCGTCTCAGAAATTAGTATTTTTCCCCCCTCAAAATTAGTATTTATTGGCGCCTTTAGAAAAATTTTAGGGTACGTCACCAAAAGTGGATATCTCAAAATAGTACAAAAGGGGGACCCTTTGGGTCAAATCCCTGAGATTTAATTTTGACATACCTTAAACAAGACTGCTCATATTTCAGTGCAGAGCCTTGAATGTTCCGAATGCACTTTAAGGCCAAAAAATTTAATTAAAAAAATTTCTTCGTTTTATCCCCCACTTGTTATGTAAAGTACAAAAAGAGTTATTTAAGTTCTCTTCTCATAAAAATATGACTGAACAACTCATCAAAGAAAATGGTACTTTTTAAGAAATCCATTTTTGGCCGATTGACCTAAAATTATGCTAATTGACGCCGATTTTTGGCCGATTGACGCCAATATATGCTAATTTTGAGGGGGGAGCGCGCGCCGAAAAAACGCAATTTTTTGGTCAAAATTTTCCAAAAAGTGCCTAAAACGCCTTTTTTGGACTGTTTTTTTCAAATTTTTGCCTGCGGCGCAGAACATTTTGCCGAAAAAGGGACCATGCTTAGGGAGAGCTCAAAAATCAATTCGGTCGATCTAAAAAATCTGAGATCCGCCCCTGCGTGTGCCTGAAAATAGATTTATTTAAATGAAAATTTGCCGTGAAACACGACAGCAGATTTAAAATAACATTCAGAAAAAATTTACCGAAGAGTAAATACGCAGATGAAACAAATTGTAAAAAAAATTTCAAAAAATAATCGAAACACAGACGGTAATACTAGAAACTAAGTCCAGCAAACTTAGACAAAAATTAACTAACCAAATTTCTGTATAAAACCAGAAGACTGTCAAAAATTATTTACTTTAAATATCATTGAAAAAAATTATACCTGACGAAAATACTGAAACCAGTTAATCAAGAAAAACAATTTAATTTTTCAAAAGATGAAAGTATATATAAGAAGGGCTTTTAGATTTAATACCAATTAGAGCTTTCAATAGCCGGCTTTACCAACCTTGCCTATCGGAAGAGTACAGAATCATCGATCTCACCATGGGGCAACTACGGTCATCCACTACTTGTATATCCTGAAATACCAGACTGTCAACAAAAATTTCTGATCACAACTTTAATTTTGACTGTATGTTTGACCTGATTAAAAAGTTAAACATTTTTAACACCCGATTATTTGCAACTTGTCAAAGTTGAAACATTGGCTCATAATTCAACTTATAATTTCTTTCTAATTGTGTATTAAAAAAACGTTCAAGTTCCTTTCAAGAAAATATCAAAAGTAACTAAGCATTATCTTTTTACTATACTTGAATTCCGATTGCTTAACTTTTAGCCAGCTACTTTGCATTAACCTTCCCGTACCTAGTAAGTTTTCTAATCCAGGTCTGAAATTATCTTTTTACACATCTAAATTTCAGTTTAAAAAAAACGTATAATTATTCGGAATTTTATTACAACTTATTAACCTGAATTAAATTGTATTTTGCAAAAGAAGCAATTGTGTTTTTTTCAGATCAGGCAATTTCTATTTCAGATCCAAATTTCAGATCTAAAATTTTAAAATTCATATCCAAGATTTGAGTTAACGAATTTCAGATCTGAGAATTAACTTATGTAAGAAAAAAAATTCGGATCTTGTAAAAACAATCTCCTAAGTACGGGTAGCAAAACTAGTGTTTCTCATAGATCTACCTAGAGAAAGAACCAAGATTAGGATAAGAATCAATCGTAATTCAAGGTATAGTAGATGGATAACGCTTAGTTACTTTTGATATTCTATTGGAAAGAAATTTTAGTTTTATTAGGACAGAATAATTGACTAAAGAGTGGAACAAAACTATCCGGCTAACAATTGAAACTAACAATTTAATCTGGAACTATTTCATGAAAGACTTAATGGTCGTAACGCAAATGTTCAAGAAGTTACGATGTTTTAAATAGTGAAATTTTTAAAAAGTTTTTTTATTCATATCTAAACTCTATTCGATGTTCGTGAAAATTTTAAAAGTTTGGTTGATCAAAAAATATTTCAAGTTGGCCATGCCGAAATCAGATTTGATCATATCTGTGAGAGAATATCAAGAACTCTAATAATAATAATCTGGTTGATCAAAAAAATATTTCAAGTTGGCCATGCCGAAATCAGATTTGATCATATCTGTGAGAGAATATCAAGAACTCTAATAATAATAATAATCTGGTTGATCCAAAAAATATTTCAAGTTGGCCATGCCGAAATCAGATTTGATCATATCTGTGAGAGAATATCAAGAACTCTAATGAATTTTGTTCATCTCTAACAAGGTCATGTTGCTGGACATCCAGACGGTAACTTTCCAAATGGCATAATTCCCAAATGGCATAAAAATGGAAACTTTTCCCAAATGGCATAAATTTCAAGTTTTTATTGTAATTTAAACGTTTTCTATCAATTTCTATTTCTATCATTTTGTCAGTAACGAAAGCATGTAAACAAGATTTGGAACTAATTGCTTCCAAACAAATTTAAGCAACAGATTTGTCGTAAAAAATTGAGCACAAGAAGCTTATTAATAATCGCAAGCTTATGCTTCTTGCTTTTGATAAAAAGTTCTACAAGTTTTTCACGATAAAATGTCAATCAACATTTGAATTGACAATTTGACTAATTTTCTCACATTGTTCACGAAAAAATTGTTCTCGATTTTTCCAAAGCACCTGTTGCATGAAATTTATGCCATTTGGGAAATTTTTCATTTTTATGCCATTTGGGAATTATGCCATTTGAGACGTAATCATCCAGACTTTTTGCGTTTCTAACCTAAGAAGCAAACAGGTCTTATTCAATATGAAATCTATTCTAGTACTGGAAAGTCTTAGGAATAAAAAAAACTGCTAACAAAGCTTAAATTTTTCAAATCACATGTTAGATCCTAATTACAATGGCGAATATAACTTGTTTGTAATAAATTTTGTATGGTGATAGAGAACTGAGCTGTGTTCTCTCGCGCGCGCACTTTTCGATTAATCTTCCGACCATTGAAAATGGACAGGAACTTTGCATTCGGCCTTCTTTCAGTTTGTTTTTGATTTTTTCTTTTCACTGAAAAATCAGATACCATGAATAATTAACAGGTAGGGCTTCAGTGATGAATCAAATTGAAGATTTTTAAATCGTTTTACCGTCAATGTTAAAAAGTTTTTAAACTATTTTTCAGTGTCGAAAAAAAACCGGTGAAAGTTTGTAGACCAATTTTTCCAGCGACTAAAGCCAGCAAGTAGAAATAGTAATAAGAGCAAAGCATTTTATTAAGCTATAAAGATAAATTTTCAGTTCAAACAAGAAGTTAACGTTTTAGCAGACCGAAAATTTCAAAAATAAATTGAAAAAAATGCATTAGTTTTTGTTATGACTTTTGATAACTCTAGTCAATGGACGCTATGATTAATGTTTCTAAGATCATTTTTGTCCGTCTACCTAATTAATGCTCGCACAAAACAAAACAGCACAAATTTGAAGAAAAAACATTTACACGGTGAGACAACATCCTGCTCAGAATTTGTTTTTATCCCCATTCGTAAATCGTTTATAATCATTACATCAGTAACTATAACTAGAATAACTAGCATGATTTCAAACACGATTAAAGTTATCAAAGAAACTATTTTTTAAAGGAGTTAAAGAATTGGAAAAGCTCATTTTACTTTCTCGAAGAATTCTTCTCTCTTGCCATTATTCGATGCTTTTGCTTTTCAGCTATTTATCATTTCACAATTTATCATCTCCGTCGACGTCCAATTTAGGTTCTTGGGGTTCGTTACTGCTAGGAAACTCGTGCAAAGTGTGTGACTTAACGAAATTGTGATTGATCAGGAACCCTATGTGCTCAGAATTACTCGGCTTCGGAACTGTCCGAATCGGATTCTCGGTTATCGTGAGAAGATCCGGCGAGCTGTCACTCATGAACATGTGTGTGCGGGTTCCGGTATGCGAGCAGCCGGAACAATCGTCCAAATCCATTTCGAAGCTCTGTCGTCTGATTCTTGAGTCTCTAATTCTGCTTCTGTAAATGCTGTACAGCAGCAAGAAAACAATCAACACGATTCCGGCAGTCGTTAGCATTGCCACGACAACAATGTCAAATGTTTGGATCTCGGCAGAACTTTCCACTCCATAGTTATCCGAAGCAAGTCTTTCGGGTCGCATTGTGCGACGTGCGTGAAGAGGTTTCGGAACTGCGACAAAGTGCGGGTTAGTGTTCTCAAAAGGTTCAATTTGTGGTCCTGCGGGGGATCGATCCTGGGAAGTGTCGCTAACAAAGTCTTTCGTAGAATGTATATTGAATTTTTCCTTATCAGTTAATGCCGTATGAATTTCGGTGCGAATAATGATTGTAACCAGGTTGCTTTTGCGCTTATTTTCATCCTCGCAGGTAAGATCGAAATTTCTCTGGCTGTGTTTGTTTGCCAAACTGGAGTAGTAAATTATCCGGGACAGGGCTTGCTCAAATATTTCGACCGAGTCCGGTCCCCTGATGATTTCTTCACCCCCGGAAGGACCTTTGAGCATGATTAGATTACCAATTTCTGCCAGGGACAAGCCCTCATCCCTATTAATTCCCTCCAGGGGCGGGTAGATTAGCATCCTACAAGACTCGATCCTCCTTCTTTCTTTAGCGTCACGGCCCATGTGAAATTTGACCTCAGGGAAAAGCTGCACTCCTCTGTACAAAGTGAGGTTGCTGTAGGAATAGGCGTTGGAATTTGTGCGCATAATTAGATTATCATCTTCAGCAACGCCAATGCTGATATTGAACGACTGGTGAAATTTAGTGACCTCCCTCGAATCCCTTTTAAAGCACACGGCCGTAGAGTCTACTTTGATTACACGTGAAAAGTCGTTGCCATAACTGGCCGTATTTATATAATGAACATTTCTTGTCATTTTTTCGAACTGAGATGCAGTTGTATTTTCTAGACCGGACAGTTTTTGGCGCGACTTCCCCCCTCTTCTTTCGTTGATAACGTGAACACCTCCGTTATGTGTGGTCAGATAATCCAAGTACTCCAGGCATTTTTGGTCGCAGGGGGTTTCATCTTGGTGTTGGCCCGCAATGTAGTTAAGCGAGGCCATTTTTCCTTCGTAATGTTGGACAAAATCTAACTCTCGTCCGTGCCAGCAAGCGCCGACCGCCCAAGATACCGACTGATTGTTATTGATAAATGGTTCGCCGAAACGAGAGCTTGAAATGTTTTGAAACTCGCCATCTATATACAGCTCTACCGTACTATGCGTGTCGACGTTTAAAACCACGTAATGCCAGTTTGCGTCACAAAATTGCTTCGTAGACCAATGAAACTGCGTTCTCGTTTCGATCACCATTTCATCTCGGCTAAAAGCCTTTTTATGCCAAGTGAGACCAAAATTACAATTGTGCAAGTACAGGTGAAAGTGGTGGCGGTTTTTATCGTATTTATCAGTTTCGCAAATTACGCTTTCCTTGTCTCGATCATTTTGATCACTCGATTCATGTTGGAGCCAAGAAGCGAATCCAAACTTTTCCGGCATCATCTCTGCAATTGGAACAATTTCCAGCGCTGTATTTGTTCCATAAAAAGTGTAGATTTGTTTCGCTTCTGGTCCGTGGCCCGTTTCCAGTAAATTGTCGCCTCGACCTGGACACCTTTGGAGTCGGGTTTCATCGGACTCTAGTATACAACCCGACTCATCAGGAACTAGTTCGGTTTCGATCGAAAAAGAAGTACAATTGTAGCGGCAACTTTCAAAGTGAGCTTCGGGGAGTAAACATGCAAGATGTGAGTCTAAATTGACGTTTTTGATTCCCTGCCAGCCTAATGTACATGGCGGCTCGACTCTTACAGTTACTGGTATTAACTTAGATTCTTTGTTTCCGCAATCTTTCGCCGACATTTGAAACGAGTAGTTAGCTTTGACCTTGTAGTCCAACTTTTTAGTCGACTGAAGTTTTCCTTTCACTAGAGAACTAAACCTGAACGGAACAGATTTCTGGTCGTCGTTTAAAATCAGTTCGTAGTCGCAAATCGAAGAATAAGTTTGATCGCAGTCGGAATCAGTCGCTTCAAAAATATGTGAAAACCTTTCGCCAGACTCAATTGAAAATTCGTATTTTGACTCCTCGAATTGAGGAACGAATTCGTTCACGTCATATACGACTACAAAAAATGTGCTCCGATTCGAGCGTCGTTTTTTCGCCGAACAGTCTGTGAACGTCAGCTCAAATTGGTAAGTTTGGCGCTGTTCGCAATTCAGTTGTTGAAGAGGAATAATCAACAGTTCGTTTTCAAATTGATTCAACTCGAATCTGAATGCGGGCGGCTCGTTTCCTTTTAACTCAATTTCGCAGATTTTGCGATCCAGAGTCAAAGGTGGAACCAATGTTATAGGGTCCAACGTGTTCTCAACCGCAATTCCACTATACTGTGGTTGTATGTAGAACAAATCTTCATCATAAGTCAGCGACGAAGTCTCAAACTCTGTTGATTCGCTTAAATCAGACAAGGTTCCCGTTTTTGCGGCGGGGTTCTCAGTTTGTACAACTGTTTCGGTTTCGGCCTCCGGCTGTTTAGAGGACGACTCAAAAGTCGCTTTATTATTCACTGCTATGTCTCTTGGTCTTGCTTCATAACCAGAAGTAGCAGTTGCAAGGTCACGGAAATTAGCTAAAAACAGATAATAAGCTTAAATATTTTTCATCTAGGCAAGATTTCATCTGAAGCTTTTTAAGTCTGCATTAAAGTTTTTGTTGCCTTTTGTTCGAATTTTCGAAGAAATTGACGAGATATTTGTTTTCGGTATGGATTTTTAAAAATATATATCAGAAAGAACTTGATAGCCTTAAATGAAAATTCATCAGTTCATTGAAAGTAAAACTTATTTCATCGACATTAAAGGGCAGTCGGAACCAGTGATGTCCATTTAACAAACCATTTAAATTATTTAAATGTGAAATTTTGAGCCCACTCAATTTAAATGATAAGTTTTAATTTAAATCGAAAAATTTAGACTGAAAAAAAAAATTGCTCCAGCGTTATTCGATCCGACGCCAAAGTACAGAGTTTACTCATGATAATTAATTTCACATTTCACAGTTCCGCGGAAAAGCAAACAATCTAAAACTTCACCTTCAAATAAAAAGTTATCAGCTCAGTGCTAAAACTTGTAAACTATCGACCTTGGCATATTTTGAAGAACCATATTTAATCGTTGCTGCAATGTTTAGAAAAACATCATAATTTTAGATAGTGCGTTGTAATGAACAAATACTTTGTTTACAACTAAGTAATATGCGATAGCTTTGCAAACATATTTAAACCAGATCATGAAAATCAATAAACTTTGTGATCTTGAAAAAATAAACTTTAAAAGTTTGTTGAATCTGAACTTTATTCAAAATATTAACAAAATTTATACAAAACGTAATCGATGGTCTTAAAAAAAAAACTTTAAAAGTTTGTTGAATCTTAACTTTATTTCAAATATTACCAAAATTTATACAAAACGTAATCGATTTGCCGTAAAATTGTTATGTCAATTAAGCGATAGGATTTTGATCCTTTTCAATCTATCTTTAGTCGAACTTACGATTCTATCGTGGGAGCTAAGATTTCACAAGCCATGATTTCTAAACTTTTATTAAACAAATTTTGATTGTCGGATTATACCAATGTAAAACTCATCAGCTTACAAAACGTAAACAAATTAGCTAGTTGGTTGTTTCAACCGAACAACAAAACTATAGCTTCGTGCGATTTGTTGAGTCGGAACTATGAGCGAAGCCGGAAGCAGCGATTCTTTTACGAGGAAGCAGAGTTTGAAACGGGTTCATTCCAAAGGCGGCACAAATCGAATAGATCTGAAAGATGACGAGGAGAACTTAATAGACAGCGAATCTGACGACAGTGAACTACTTCGGAAGGTGAATGAAGAAGCCGAGTTTTCATACGAGAAGCAATCCTACTTTGCGGTGTTTCAGTTCGCCACAACATGGGACGTGATCATGTTTGCCCTCGGAATGGCATGTTCTATTATCCAAGGTAATAAAGTCAAAATGAAGCTTAAATGAATTTAAAAATGCAATCAAATATCTACGTTTCCAATCCCCACCAACGCCTAAAACTACCCAAAACATTACTAAAATACTTGAAACTCTACTGCTGCATATACTCAGGAGCGGATCTAAGACTTTCTCGAGGGGAGAGGCGGATTTTTTTTAAATGATTTTCCGAGCACTGCCAGAACACTATGAAGACCCTATTTTTACCAAAAACGTAGCGCCACAGGCAAATTTATGAAAAAGTCATTTTGGGCACTTTTTGGAGAATTTTGACGTGTTTTTTCGGCGCGCGCTCCCCTTCAAAATGAGGATATATCGGCGCCTTTAGAAAAGTTTTAAGGTTGGTCGGCCTAAATTGGATGTCGTAAAATATACCAAAGGGGGGCCTTTGATTGGTGAGAGGGTCGAATCCGAGGGGGGGGGGGGGGGCGTCCGGCTCACCCACTAAATCCGTCACCCACTAAATCTGCCTCTGCATATACTTACTTTTTTGTTCTCTTCAGAATTAAGAATCCTTATAAAAACTTTACGATGATGTTTTGCCTTCTGAACAACTTAGTGTCATGTTTGATCATAAAAATCATCAGGTGTTCTTCGACCCATGTCTGCAATTCTCTTCGGCAACATCACAGGCCAGTTTACAAATGTCACTGTCAGCTCTACTCATACAGCCTCCACTCCAAGTCCAGCTGGAATCATCAACCCCTCCCCCTGGTTAACATCGGGGGGACTACTCGTGGGGGACTCAATTGACTCTGCACTACAACAGTGGGAAAATGACATGATTGAAAACTGTGTCAAGCTTTCTATCTTGGGCGCCATTTCGGTTGTGTGTGGGTACTTTCAGGTCACTTTAGTGACGATGGCGGGACAGAATATTGTGCACCGGTTGAAACAGAAGTCGTTCAAAGCTGTGCTGCGGTGAGTAAGACTAACTCATCGCTTTTTCAACAAAAATTTTGCGGACAGAAATGAACAGTCAGAGTTTTCAATTATTTGAAGTCGCTTTTTGGTTCCTTTTTTCAGAGCTAATTTTTCGTTTCAAAATCAAAATAATTTCGTTCGAATCACATTTAATATTTTATATTACTCGATCTATACCGATGATTATATTTGGTACCCGATTTTGCGTGGAAAACAAAAAAAACTGAGGTACACCCGAATACAAAGTTCCTCCCATTTTTCAAATGGTTGGAACCAAAATAGCAACCAAGTGAACACCCCCCACTCAATCAATATAGGGGGAGATGGTTAACATGGTCTTAATTGAGTGTGAGTTTGGGTGTGTTGTTGTCTGTAGTCAGAACACTGCCTGGTTCGACCAGCAGCAGAGTGGACAGTTGCAGAACAGACTGGTGGAGGATTTGGAGAAGGTACGACTGGGAGTGAGCGACAAGATAGCACTATCAGTCCAGAACCTCGCCTCATTCGTGTCCGGAATATCCATCGGTACAATTATCAAACACTGGACTTACACGATAAATATGCACACTAAAGCATAGCTACGGGGCATCGTTGCTTGAGGGTGAATCGTTGCATGTAATTCTAAAGAAGGGCCGCAACAGCTGTTCAGCATTTCTCCGTGACGAGCTGAACAGCTCGTATATTGGTCGTTTCCCTTGCGGATAAATCGTCTTAAACTAACCCTAAGAACGTTCGATCACTAAGCGTCATCCCGAATGACATCAGGACGAGTGGCAGAACGTTATATCAGCCAATCAAAACCGGGTATCCAAGGAAACGACGAAAAATTTCTCAGATCAGAAATTTAAAGTTTTTTTTTGAAAATATACTTTAGGAGAGGCTCTGAGCTGAGGGACATGAAACGTGATCATTGATCTACAAGACATTACCCTGTGTACTTGAACACCGCATTAATAAAGATAATAAAGAAAATAAACCACTGACAAAAATCTACAAATGAGAACGTAACATATCACTATGTCTCTCAGTAATTCTGAATCTTGGTCAGTGAAACTTGGTTTGATGGAAATTGTTTATCGTTCGAACCTTCTGTCTTGAGATTAGCCCCCTTGAAGAATATAAGCCAAATTAGAGGTAAAAGTCATAACTTAAAATGTTAATGACGGCTGTTTAAGGGTTGTAAGAGAGAAGAGTCTGCCTTAATTCGCGGCTCAAAGCAAACCTCGTGCTTTTTTGCGAAATTTTTGTCCTAACAGCTCAATAGATTTTTCTACTGCCGCTGATGACTTGACTCTTGTGTGTACTTAAATTGAGGCCAGAAAACACGCCAAAAAAGAGCGGGTAGACAAATCTAAAAAAAACGCATCAAAAAATTATTAGCATATTGTTTTTATAAATTTTGCCCATTTCTCTAAATAATGTGGACAAAACACAGTCCAAAAATTGCAAATAATTCAATGTCTTCAGGGGTTAGATAGGGATCCTGGAGGAAACAAGAAATAATCAATATTGTAAAGAATTAGCATGCGGAATATTTAGGCTATTGCAAACTTGTAAGGTTTCCGAACGTGATTTTTTAAAATCACTCGTTACACCATAAATTTCTAGCTATTAAAATCTAGCATTCATGTCATATTTCGATGTCAGCTTTTGATTTTGCCTGATTCATAATTATAGCGTTGTCACATAGTTCAAGATTGATGGCAATTATATGGGTTGGTTTTTCATTTAAGGTTTCTACTACAGCTGGAAGTTAGCTGCAGTCATTTGCTCTCTCTTGCCTCTCATGGCCATGGCTGGGTCCGCCACCAGCTATTTCGTAAGTGGCCGACAGTCCAAAGAGCAGAAGAACTACGCCGAGGCGTCCGGAATAGCCGAGGAGACCATTTCGTCCATGCGAACAGTTGCAGCATTCTGCAAACAGCCATACCACTTGGAAAAATACGCAGAGAAGTTGAGAGTCACCAAGTTAATCGGCATTAAGAAGTCCATTTTTTTCGGAGTGTCTCTTGGAAGTGTGTATGTGGTTATGTTTGGCTCTTACGCCCTGGCCTTTTGGTACGGACCTCGGCTGATTGCAGACGGCGAGTTGAATGCAACAGAGATGATGACAGCTTTCTTCAGTATTTTGACAGGCGCCATGTCTATTGGAAATGCGTTCCCAGGCAAGTTAAATTGAATAACTTGAGAATTTGGGTCTTCCCTAATGTAGTCCCCATTGTGGCCCAGCAAAATATAACCCTACCAAATATAACCCTAGCAAAATATAACCCTACCCGACCTGATAAAAATAGACATAATCTAATTACTAATTTTTGTTATTTGGGCATTTGTTGACAAAGTCTCCAATGGTGAGGCTCGAAAGGAAAACTGATCACCATGATGAGGCTCCAAATGACTGCTGAAATTCTGAACATAAATTTTCCATTCTGACAACCTAATTGTTTTGATAACTATATTTTGAATGGTTAGATAGAGTAGAATCAAGTAATCCCATATTTTTTCTTTAAATATCACATAAATCAGGCGCGGATTTAAGATTATCTCGAGGTTAATGTTGCAGTTAACCGAGGTTAATGTTGCTACTTAAGTGATGCTGATCCATGATGCAAATTACATTTATGATTCATTGATGAATTATGAATGAAAGATAAATAAAAATATGTTTGCTACCCATGTAATTGGGGTTCAAAAACAGAATATCTGAACATTTATTGGACTTTTTCTGGTAAGTAACTAATTTCAGCAAAAAAAGTTTGATTTAAAAAACTTATCCGTCAGAGTGTTAAATTGCGCAGCAATCACTTTAGGCATTAATCACTTGTTATTGTTGTTGTAGTTGGCTCGTCAAGGGTCAGCGCATTAAGTTTCGACATTTTGGTCAATTTTCGTTATAAATAGACTTCATTTTCATTTGGAGTGGTTAGTACGTTATTCAGTTCAGTACTTTTTCGAAGAAGGTTGATTTCTTAGCTTAGGTTATTTTCAGTACTTCCAGTGGAAGGTTGTTATTTTTGTCGTATCTTCCGAGTCTCACAGTGCGGTTCCCGCCGGGTTGTCTATGGGTAGAAGAGGGGCTCCCGATTCCAGTAACTGACTCGTCTAATGATTCTGGTGGCGGCGCCCGTTTCGGTGAATCGCCAAGCCGTCAAACGCGGAGAAAAAAGCAAAGCTCTGGTTGTGGTGTCTAATTTTGTCTATATCGTATCTGAGGAACATCAGACAGAGGAACGATTTGGATTTCATAGCCGAAGCTATGAGTCAGTGTTGAGTCGACACTAGTCATCAGGAGCGAGCTCGATTGATGTTCTTGAAGGCTGATCTAATTTGAGGAAGGCAGAAGCCTTGACAGGATTGGACCAGAGTGAAAGAGTAGTGAAAGTAGTAGAGTTTTGGAGACATTGAAAGAGGTGGTTGGTATTGTGTGGGGGTGTTGAAGTACTTTAGACATTCGTTGGGGAGAATGGGGTCAACTCAGTTGAGGTAGGAGTAAAATAGGGGGAGTAGCCGGAGTGCAGTTGAGCTAGGCTGGACCGGGCCTTGCGACTCAGGGATATTTCAGTTGGTGAGTAAGTGGAAGGTGCTTTCGGCAAGTATTTTAGGTATGGGGACAGTTTCGATGAAGATGTAAGCCGATAGTGTAGGGAGTACTTTGTGTATATAGAGTTTGGCTCCCTTGTCGATGTACTCATAGGGGTCGATCGAGTCAGTCAGGAGACCCGCATTGTGGCTTTTGAAAGAGGTTTTCAATTGTCAGGGGGTTGGTAGTATCGAGTATTGTTCTTCTGGGCCGTTGTGTAGTTAGAAACTAGCATAGTATTGAAAAGAGAGTAGGTTCATGTGGCGTTTTACGGGAAGGATAAAGCATTCAGTATGGAAGTGTTCGATTTACGCCAGTTTAGTGCATCCAGTTACAGTGCGGAGGGAGGCTTTTTGTACAGTTTGTAGTCTTTGGATAGAAGTGGTGCTTGCTTGACCACGCTGGGGCAGCGGGTTCTAGGACTGGTCTAAACATAGCCTTGTATTTAATTAGAACCATTTCCTTATTTTGGCCCCAGTTGGTGCAGGCTGGCACTTTCAACATTGAGCTATGATTGAAGTGTAATATTCTTGAGTGTAGTAGTAGCTTGAGTCTTGCAGTGTAGTATTTCATTAATGGGTCTAAGTTGAGTCCTAGCATCAATAAATTCGGTAGAGTTGCTTACAACAAACCACAAGCTCCTGAGGATTCTCTTTAGGATTTAAACATCTTCTGACTCCCGCGGTATGAAAAAAAAAAGACTTTAACAAACATTTTTTTTCATGTAGATTTTCCAGCAGAAAATAATCAAGATGAATGTAAATCAAATTATTGAAAAAAATGAGGTTGTTCTGCTCTAAATTACCGTTTATGATAATCGAAACCGATCAGAAAACCAAACAAACGGACCCTTATGTTGAATGGAACAATTCCAAAAAAGTAACCAGAATAACCAATTGCTGTTAACCAATAAACTAAAACTCTGAAAAACTTTTTCTGAAAAAATGTTTTTCAATGTTTTTCAATTTTTCCCACTAAAACTTTCAATTATGAGCGCTGAATAAGGCTTCCAAACCTAATTTTCTTTTTAGTAAAATCAAGTAACTTATAGCCTAAATTGGTAATTTTCATATTTAACGAATGTTACTCGATCGCTTTACTCCCTCGAAAGTAGACGACGCAAAAATTTCAAACCGGTTTTTCTCAACACTGGGAAAACTTTTGGAACATTTTTTATGTCGTTGGAATCACGACTAAAGGGGCTTCACTATGATATATCACTCAACCCAGTCCGATGATTATTTGTGGTGCCTGATTTTGCGTGGAAGAAAAAGAAAGAAAAACTAAAACACATCTGAATACAAATTTCCTCCTCATTTTCATTGGTCGGAATAAAAATACTCTTCAAAGTGACAGAAATATTGATTTCAGGTTTGAACGATATTGCAATGTGCAAAGGAGCCGCTGCTTTTTTGATTGCGGTCAACAAACGGAAGCCTCCCATCGATTGTTTTGACGAGTCTGGGCTGACACCTTCATCAGTGAAAGGGAAGATCTCGTTTCGCGACATCGACTTTTGGTACCCCACTCGACCCGATGTACAGGTGCTCAAGAAAGTGTCTTTTGATGTGAACCAGGGCGAAACTGTGGCTTTAGTGGGTCATTCTGGGTGTGGGAAGAGCACATGTGTTTCTATGGTTCAGCGCTTTTACAATCCCACTGAAGGTGAAACTCAAGCCAGTTAATCTGAATTTAGCTTTGGATGAAAACTTGTTTAATTTGTTTGCAATAAAAATGGCCTTTTCAATTACAGTTAAGGAACAAATTTGCAATTTTCTGTTTCCAACAAATGAATTGAACGAAAACTTTCTTCGAGTTTCCTCTACAATTGGCTAGGATAATGGACTGAACTTCTGAAACATGGTTGATGAAATAATTTTAATCGAATCAAACAAAATCTGCTAAGTTGCAATTCAATAGCAGATTTTGCTAGATTCGATTAAAATTATTTCATTGACTATTACACACGAATTGTTTATTACAGGTGAGGTTACATTAGATGGAATTAATGTGAAATCTATGAACATACAATGGCTGAGACGTCAAATTGGACTCGTGAGTCAGGAGCCGGTTCTGTTCGGGTACACGATCGCCGAAAACATCCAGTTCGGAAAAGAGGGTGCTACTCGGGAAGAGGTGGAGGAGGCGGCGAAGATGGCCAATGCGCACGAGTTCATAGTGGGCTTTGAGAAGGGATACGACACCGACGTCGGGGAGAGGGGAACCCAGTTGTCGGGGGGACAGAAACAGAGAATCGCAATCGCCAGAGCGCTAATACGGTACATGCAACTTCAAAAATCAGACTTCTACAGTTTGAATTTGTAATCCTATTTGGCTGTAATGGCCACGTTCAAGCGATTGCAAGTCCTGACAATTCGAGACGCATCAAAAATTTCCATAAGCAACCAGTATAGCAATTACATGTCCTAAAGTCGGCCTAAAGTCAATAGATTTCCACAGGAATTGATTTCTCTCAAAGCATTTCAACAGTAGATAAGTTAGATAAAAAGTCCTATAATTTATTTTCTTTTCGAATCACAACAGTAAGTCATATACAATCTTTCCAAACGGGTAACTAAGTCTGGGAATCTGGGAGAAAGCTAAGATCTTTATAGCCAGAGGCAAAATTTCCTTTTGCAAAACAAATTTCATGTCGCAAAAAAATGGCTAATGGAGCTCTTTAAAAGGGCAAAAAAATGGCTAATTGAGCTCTTTAAAAGGGCAAATAAAATACAACAATAAGTAAAATTCAGCGAAAGCTCAAAAGAGAACACGAGATGGATCACCGTTATGAAATAATAGTTTTAACTATGACCCGTATAGAAATCCCTCAATTCTGCTGCTGGACGAAGCGACATCTGCGCTGGATACAGAAAGCGAGAAAGTAGTACAAGATGCCCTGAACAAGGCGAGTAAAGGTCGCACCACGATAGTGATTGCCCATCGACTGTCCACGATCAAGAACGCCACCAAAATTATAGCCTTCGACAGCGGTGAGATCAAAGAGGAGGGTGACCATGATTCCCTTATGGCCCTGGATGGAGTGTATGCTGGTCTAGTTAGAAAACAGAATCTGCGATCTATGGGTTAGAAAAATTTTCTCGGTTGTCAAAAAGACGTGCATATAAATAACTGAAGCCAAAACACGAATTTTTTGTGAAGTGAAACTCTTTATTCGCGATTTCTGAAAAGAACTAATTTTCCTTGAAATTTTTTTAAAGATAGATTTTTCAAAACACAATGATATCAAATAATCATCTTGGATACAGTTTGTTTTTTTAGCATTAATTTTAACCACTCCAATAATTATCATTTTTAATAATTTTACTTCTAGAAATAGCCTTATTTTCTGTCTAGTATATGTTTTGATGTCGCATTAGAAACTACTGAGGATGAGAAGAATCAAGCTATGGCGCACTCGGCAGCCTACAACAGACAGAACTCCTACAAGACTAGCCAGAAGCTGGGTCGAATCTCCAGAATGTCGGTTACCTCAGTACGCAGTGACGAAGAAGCACTCATTGACAACGAGGTTGAAGAAGTCTCGAAGAAGCCAGGCTTCGGAGCCCTGATGAAACTGAACGCACCCGAATGGTATTGGATAATCCTGGCGATTATTGCGGCGACAATGGTCAGTGGTTCGTTTCCCACCTTCGCCATTTATTTTGGAGAAATGATTGCCGTACTCTCAGAGCCGACTGATCAAATGGTTGACGATGCGGTATTTTGGAGCTGCATGTTTTTGGTCCTGGGCGGAACCATTGGGATTGGATTTGCTCTTGAGATGCTGTTTTTGTCCATTTCGGGTGAAAATTTGACGGAGCGATTACGTTATACAGTGTTTGAGTCAATTCTGGAACAGGATATTGAATACTTCGATCGTCCTGATAATTCAACGGGAGCGTTGACAGCGAAATTGTCCAAAGATGCTTCATTGATTCAAGGTTAGACTCCACAACTATTTTACTTTATACAGTGCTGATTTAAATTATCCGGACAAAATGAACAAGCTTGAATTTTCAAACGCCTTTTTCTCAAATTGGATTAAGATTAGACAAGAAGTGAAGAGAACAAAAGTTGCTTAGAATTTCATCAGAATTAATATGGTGCAATTTTTCCTCCGAAATTTTACCCCAAAAATGGGTCATTTTGGCTTTTTTCAATTAATCAAAAATTACGCTGAAACTACTTTGTTAATTGATGAGGAATATGTATCACAAGAAGCCTCTTACAGAGCCCGACAAAGTTTTAGAAGGGATAAACCTCCAAAAACCTGTATAAGAGAAAACAATTTTGCTTGATAGTCAAGAAACGTGATTTTTACTATTTAAAACCCAAAATTTTTGATTAAAAACAAATTTTAAACAATTTACTCAAATTTTTGGGGATTTAACTCTTCTAGAACTTTGTTGGGCTGTGTAAAAGGCTTCTTGTGATACATATTCTTCATCAATTAACAAATTAGTTTCAGCATAACTCTTGATTAATTGAAAAAAGTCAAAATGACCCATTTTTGGAGTAAAATGTTGATTGAGAATTTCGGCGAAAATATTAATCCTGATGAAATTCTGAGCAACTTTTGTTCTCTTCCTTTTTTGCCTAATCTTAACCCAATTTGGGAAAAGCGTGTTTGCAAATTCAAGTTTCATTCGTTTTGTCCGGATAATTTAAATCAGCACTGTATTCCTCTAGTCAACTCTAAATGTCTGATTTCATTTGTATCTACTATTTTTAATGTAAAACATCTAATGTCGACCTCTCCAAAAAAGACCTGCATTACGCTAAAAAAAAGTTCAGGCGCGAACATTTCTGGCTGGAGTCTTTCAAATTATATTTTCCTTATTTTAATTTTTTCCAGCTCAGTCTTCGAAAACCCAAAACGTGGTCTTCTTAAAACAAAAAAGTGCAATCATTAGTGGAAAAGGGTCAATGATTCAAAATCATTGGTTCATTTCAGGTGCAACTGGTGTTCGTCTGAAGAGTGTGTTTGAAGCCATGGCAGGTATGGTCATTGGACTGACCATAGCTTTCTACTTTGGGTGGCAACTGGCTCTCCTTATCCTGGCAGCCGTGCCTCTCATAATGTTCACTGGCACAGTGCAGGGCAAGATATCCACCGGGTACCAGGTGCAGGACAGCAGCAACACCCAGAAGGGCGGGAAGTTGATCGTAGAGTCCATTTCTAACATCAGAACTGTACACGCTTTCGGTAAGCAAGAGAAACAAAAGTCGCAAACGAAAAGTGAATTTTAACGCCTAGTGTTCAAATTTTAATGCGTAGTAGTGTTCAAACTTTAGTCGCCTAGTATTCAATCCTGTGACAATCAAAACCATCAGAATTTGATTTCGAAGCATTTTTACACTAGCTAACTTAAGTACGACTATGCTTTTTTTCTAACCTAAGTCGCAAATATTGGCGCCACTTTAGTGACACCTTTACAGCTTTTAAAAGCATGTCCTTTGAAATTCGATTAGTAACAAGTTAACACAGTTGATGCATTTTTCATTGTTAAAATGAACCGAAAAAAGCTATTTGCTTCAAATATCAATACAATTATAAAAACTCGATTTCAGATATTTTCCAACTCAATATACCTCGCAAAATTTTTGAAATGCTTAATTAGTAAAAAAAAAATATGGCTTTAATGTTTTCGAATTTATCACATGAAAAGAGTGCGTAGATGCCTTCAGTTTCCATATTATTGCATGCCAAATTGTGTCTATTTGTATTTGATGCCACTTTTGCTGCATTGCATTGGCAATTTATTAGAATATGTAGTAGCTGTTTTGTTGGTGACTAGTGTGTTTGCTGGATGTTAGACGTTCGTGGCCGAGCGGGTAGGGCCTGAGACTTCAAACCTTGAGGTCGCAGATTCAAATCCGAAACGTAACAAAGTTTTACTAATTCGAGACTTATTTCTATTTTTTCTTATTTCACTTTATAAAGCTACACTTTTTTGTCGCGTTGACACAGCGCAGCTTCGCCTCTGTGTTGAAACTCTGTGGCTGTCGATGCAAAATGTAGAAATTACCGGGACATGGTCTGTAGAATTCAGTTTGTTTTCAAATTAAACCAATTTGGCCTGATAATTACGATGATAGGAGTAAGACTTAAAGAAAAGTTTTACTCATAATTTACACTATGTATTTTGCCGATTGTATCTATTTTGAAGTTCTTAAATCTGAATGATGACTAGCTTAAAAAACTGGAACCTCAAAACCTTATAAAATTTTACAATAAGAATAAGGACAGCCGTTACTGAGCAAGTAGCTCAGAATTTTCCCACCACATTCGTAAAAAAACTACCAAAAACTTTTGTATCTTCAAATTAGCATCGTTTCTTCTGCGTGGTGTGATTATACAACTACACAAACGCGTAGAAAGCTATTGAATTAGGCATATTGGATATTTGATATTTCGGAAATTTTTAAATCTCTTTCGAATCACGGTTTTTTAAATGATGGTTTTTTAAATGATTTAAATGGTGGAAAAGAAATGAAAAAAAACACACCCGAATACAAATTTCCTCCACATTTTTCAAATATTTGGAAAAACAGGAATAGCTGGCTGCTGAACAAGTGGCACAGGAAGTTCCTCCATAATGATTGGAGCAAAGAAATTCCAAAACAATTGCAAATCGAAAAAAAATTTTCTGCCAAATTTCATGTGGTAAATTTTAGTAATGTCAGGTTGAAATCGTTCAAAACTGCAAAAAGTAGGAGTTAAAATAGCTAAAATGATGTAAAAAATGCATTCAAATTGAATTGAGAGTTCAGTGTCGTTCGTGTCATTTAGTTTAAAAAACTGTGGGCGGGGGTATTGTTCTTAATGAAGCTAAGAGTTCTGAAACGAGTGAGCGTTGCATTTTCAGGACTGGAGAGGCAGTTCATTGACGACTTCAACGCCATTATAGACCCCCTGCACAAAAAGGACATCAAACTGTCACATGTGTACGGTGTCACTAATGGCCTCGGCTTCAGTTTGCAATACTTCATATACGCCGCTGCTTTTCGTCTCGCCACTGAGCTGATTGTGAATGGAAAACTAGAAGAACCAGCGGATGCATTCAAGGTCATTTTCGCCCTACTTTTTGCCGCTTTCGGTGTCGGTCAAAGTACGGCGTTTTTGCCCGACTTCGCGAAAGCGCAGGTAGCCGCGCAGAATATCTCGACGCAGCTGGGCTTGCAGCCTGTGATTGGGGGCGACAGTCGAAGTACTAAGGATGCGAGGGGTCTCAAAGGCAACATTAAGTTCGACAACATTCAGTTAGTACACTCATTAACCACGATCCGACTGAAACCAAAATATCTGCGTCTGAAGCAATCGACTTTTGTTTCGAATTATGTTACTACAGTTTTGCGTGTCTTGTTCAGCTTGATAGAGTCAGTTTTTAGCATCTCCAAATTCTAGTTTGATCAACACCAAACTAAATGTTCCTTTACTAAGTCATTTGTTCCGACTTTCGAAGAAAACGGAATATTTATGCTCGGTGTGGTTTTTTATTCAGTCAATTTTCGTCGATCAAAATAATACTTTTCGACAAAACTTTTTTATACTACATTGAAGATATCGACTTCCTGAGTTCAAATTTGAAAAGATATTTTACCTCCAATTAGTTTTTGTAAAGTTTTGGGGGGTTTGAAAATTGCCAAATTGGCCATGTGCTGGACTAAACTATGTCCGCTTTGAAGACTTAATTCATGATGCGGAGAGAGTAACGCGAATTATTTATGCGTGGCGATTTATCTCGAACAACATAATCGTTCTAATTTGAATTGAGGCTAGGGGTACGACTCAAAATTGCACACTTTGATAGTGTCCAAAATATATAGGTTTTCAATATTTTCTTTTCCAAAAAACTATTCGATATGAATTAAGGGACAGTCGGAACATTCAGGGGTTTGCCCTGATGCACGAGCAGCCTTGTTTTCACTTACAGAGTGTTTTAGATAAACTTTCTCAAATTAAAGTCGAACATGTAAAAAGTACTTGAGCTGAGGCCCTGAAACTCTGACCCAACGTAGAAAATGGATAGAAGTTTTACACAGAGGCAAAGCAGATACACCACTTGCGATACAATATAAACATATCATGACAAACTACCAGAAAGAAATTGAGACAAAAATCGAAAACGTCGAGAAAAGCCTAGATCTACCGCAATTCTTATATCTTGGCTTGAGTGAAGTTTTTTTTGAGAGAAAAAAACAAGACAACGAAGAAAATTGAAAGTTACGTTTACATAAAAATAAAGCGGTATAAAAGCCGAGAGCTTTTCAGCAGACACCCGTTGAGCTAAGAAAAAGATATTTTCACAAAAAAACTTAAAAACTTTTTTTATGATAAGTTACCCCCTCAAAGACACACTCACAGGAAAAAAAAATTAGCTCATCTAACGTTGCAAATTGATGCCACTAAGCCAATTAAGTAATCGCCGAAAAACTTTTAAGCCGAGTAAACAAAAAAGCATTCGAAATACAAGCCTTTGTCTCAAGCAAAAGCGTTACCTCTACGCCATATGAGCTAGGTGATTGATTGATTTTTAATTTACTATGAAGCTAGATGACACATATGCAAAATCTTGTGTACAAAGTTCTTTGCAAGAAAAAATTCTAGTGACCATTTGCAACACCCCTGTTTATCGCAAGGCTAAAGACAAACGTTCAGATTTGTTTTCAAGTTCCTCTCCGTTTAAATTGCCAAAAATAATTAAAAACAAGGAGCGAAAAATGTTGATGAACTTGAGTTTCATTTTTTTGGAGTTCGTAAGCGGAATGAAAAAATTATCTATTAATCCAGGTTTCTGAATTTGGATTAATTTTTATCAAAAAGAAAACCATCGTAAAAGTATTCGCAAAATCAGAAAAGCATCAGGACGAAAAATGTTTTATTGTTAACGAACGCAGTAAAATTTTATTTAATTGGTTAATTTGTTTTTTTCCCGTCACTTTTCGGGAAAACAATAAAACTTTGCTATTTGCTTCATTTTGAATAACAAAATTGCATTGGCACAAAAATTGAATTTGAACGGTAGTTTCACACAAGGATTTAATTTTTAAGAGCTCTCAGCGGATTCAGTTTTCTCAAACTGAGTGAATTCTTTTGAAAAACTGTTAATGGTAAACTGTAAGCAGATACAGGGGCGGATTTAGGGGGGTACGCCCCCTCCTTTAGGGATTCCACCCCATACCGATCCAAAGGGTCCCCTTTTGGTACTTTTTAAGAAATCAATTTTTGGCTGACCGACTCTAAAATTTTTCTAAAGGCGCCTTTGAGGTGGATTTTGAGGTGGAGCGCGCGCAAAAAAAAATCAAAAATTTGCCTGCGGCGCATAAATTTCGGTCAAAACAGCGTCTTTTTAGTGCTCTAGGAGAGCTCGGAAAATCAATTTGGTCGACCTGAAAAAAAAACGATTTTTTGAAAATCTGCCGCCCCTCGAGAAAATCCTAGATCCGCCTCTGAGAAGATATCGCAGAAATTGAACTGAACTACTGTAATTTTGAAAACGCAAATTGAACAAAAAACAATCAGATATTTTTTTCTTAGTCTAGTTAAGGTTATTACAATTGTCTGTTGGCTTTAATTTGTAGTGCTGAATAATTTTAGTGAAAATTTTACATAAAATATCTTCATTTCATGCTGATAGGTTGCAATATATAAGCATAACAAATGAGTGTGATTAAAATTCTTTTAGAATGTTCACACATATTTCGTCTATTTTGGCTGCTTGTGTCTCAATTTGAAATGAGATTCGCTCCGAACTCACTGGCTCTCCCATAAAGGCGTGAATGGCCCAAAAAGCGTTTTTTTTCATTTTTTGTTTTAAAACGGTTGTTTCAAGAACTCCCGGCGGAATTTTCAAAAAAAATTCAGAATCAGTTATCTGCAATTGGCTCATTGTTATGTGAATTTTGTCAAACATAATAAAACTTTCGAAGATAATTCCGGTGCTTTCTATTGCTGAAAAAAAGGATATGAGTCCTGCAATTTTTTTCTAAACACTAGACAAGTGTACTATCATGATTATACAACATGAGGACAAATTGGATCTCTTTTAACTATTTCCCCCCTTTTGCAATGAAGGGGGGGGAGAGATTCGCTATTTGGCACAAAATTCTCATATGCTGAACCGTTGATTTATTTCTTTACAGGGGGAGAATTGTTTCTATGCACCCTACAGGAATAGTTGAACAAATCCCAAATTAGCCACAATTTTACAGTGCTTTTTTAAGTTTATTGTCTCCTCATTTAAAATTCAGATGCAAAAAGCGATGAAATGAAACATAATTAAAAATTCTAATAAACATTCATATGTGAAAAAAAAATGCAACCGAAAGTCATGTTTAAAAATCATTGCTGAATGAAAAGGATATGAGGCCTGCAATTTTATTCTAAACACTAGCCAAGTATACTATCATGATTATGTAACATGGGGACAAATTGGATCTCTTTTAACTATTTCTCCCCTTTTGCAAAGGGTGAAAAGATTCGTTAATCGGTACTAAATTCTCATATGCTGAACCGTTGATTTATTTCTTTACAGAGGGTAGGCACCCTAAAAGAGAGGAATATTTAAAGAGATCCCAAGTTAGCAACATTTTGCAAAGCACTCTGCAGCGGTAGCAATTCTTTCTTCTCCAAAAACCCAATATTTCAAAGCCGCCTGCAGTTCCAAGTAAAAGTTTCATTTTCAGGAAGTCGAAGCTCGAAAATTGTTTTTTTTTTTAGGTTTACACTAATGCAATTTGGCAGTTCCTAACTATTTTTCGGTTTTTGTTTTAGTTTACGTAGCTTTATGAAAAATTTTGTTTTCTTGTAATTCAATGGTTATTCAATAGGTTATGTCATAAATCATTGTATAAGACACTTGGGGTCTTTGATTTTGCACAAAAAAAATACTCAACTTTAAAAAATATCTACTATGTGATGCAAAAATTGTCAAATAATTTACAGCTAGAACTGAAACTAATTTTTACGAGCTCAAACAAATAATTTGTCAACTAAAAAGGAAGTTAAAATTGTAGGTTGGGTGGGGCAAAGATGGTTACAACGCCAGTTCGTAGCATGCGACATTTCATAACAATGCATTGGAAAGTCCCGACCGCTTGCTCCGCTGCGCTTAGTTTCAATTCGAGTGAATCACAACAGTTGAATCACAACAGTTCATTCAGCAATTACGAGTGGTCACCTGTTAGGAACTCTCGCCTGTTACGCTGTTATAATTGTACAGGAAAGTTTCGATACCCAAAAGCGAAGATTGATTGGAAGACTACCCAAAAAATAACAGGTCCGCTAACTCTAGCGTAAAAAAGACTTAAGAAGACAATCTCAACTTTGAAAGACGTTTGGATTTATCTAATTGTCTAAAATGTTTTTGAAATATAGACTCTTTCCGACCCATACTGATGCTAATCTTACCCGAGAACCCTTAGTAAAAAATTATTACCCTTCCAGTAATGCAACAGTATACAAATGATTTGCTCTCGAAAGTGAAAAATTCCTGTAACATTCACTGATTTAGTAATGGTCAGTTTTATTGCTTTCAAAAACAGTACTAATTCTGTACTAAATTCGGATTCAGTACTACTGCTGATTCAGTACTGGAACAGTAATGCAATTTTTTGTCCTGATTTTGTGACTGATCAGTGCTATCGTGTCAATTGCCCAATACTGTTACAAGGCTTTTTTTATACTGTTGAGTTACTGAAACAGTACTGATTTTGACTGACAGACCAATCCGGGTTTTCGTCAGATGAAATTTGCACTACCAATTTTTTTGTCCAGTTTCTTCTATCCTGAGCGGAAGAACCAAAAGATTCTCAACGGTCTCAGTCTCGAGGTCAAAAGTGGGCAAAAAGTGGCTCTTGTGGGCTACAGTGGGTGTGGCAAGAGCACCCTGATGCAGTTGGTGATGCGCTTCTATGACCCAACTATGGGCCGAGTGACCATAGACGGAGAAGACATAAGAAACTTCGACACCACCAGTATCAGGTCCATCATGGCCATTGTGAGCCAGGAACCGACGCTGTTCCAGGGATCCATTTTTGGTCAGTTGCTTTACACCTTTTTAAATGGATAAAATAAACTGGACAAATAGCTTTACTAGAGCTTTGAACTGATGTGTCAAAATCCATAAAAATGTCGTAATTCAACTAGCAGTTTATAGTCTGGTGAAAAAAAAAACAAGAGTTCTCTTATCGGAACTTTCCGACTGCACTTAAACCAAAAGTTTGTCGAGGAGGAGATGCCTTCGCTTTGGTTTTGCTTTACAAAATTTCTTTTTGCTCGACCAATCTTAGAGAATTCTGAAGGCGCCTATGTCTGCAGGCTCCTAATTTTGATAGGGGCGCGTGCCGAAAAACGCTAGTTTTCACACTCTGATTCAAAAGATTCCTATGAACACCACTGACTTAAACGTAACTTAACTAGTGATTGCGAAAAACATGCATGCACGCTGCACAGCACAAAAGCGTTGCGAGTTGATTGTTCGCGAAATAATTTTTAATTTTTTTTCAATTACAGCGCAAAATTTTCTCAAAATCCCCGTATCATTAGAAATTCAAAAAAAATTCATGGAGTTTTATGTTAGTCGCCTTCGATCAAAATTTAACTTCTTTGAAAATTAGCATAACAATGGAATTTTCATGGCCTCAATGATTCCTTTAAATTTTGTTCAGATAACATTGCATATGGCCTAGAGGATAGTACAACTGCAACCCACGCTCAAGTTCAAAAGGCTGCCGAGCAAGCGAACGTGGCGAAATTCATCAACGAACTTCCGGAAGGATATGAAACGCAAGTTGGCGAGAAGGGTGTGCAGCTTTCGGGAGGCCAGAAACAACGACTTGCCATCGCACGAGCTCTGATGCGGCAACCGAAGATACTTCTGCTGGACGAAGCGACGTCGGCTCTAGATACTCAGAGTGAAAAATTAGTACAGGAGGCTTTAGATCGAGCCCAAGAGGGACGTACATGTTTAGTGATTGCACATAGATTGTCGACAATCCAGGGTTGCGACCAGATAGCGGTGGTCGACTTTGGGAAGATCCAGGAGCTGGGAACCCACGACCAGTTGCTCGCCCAGCGGGGAATCTACGCCGCCTTGTGCAACCAGCAAAATTTACAGAAGAAATGAAGGACTTGTTACTAAAAAATTCGAATCGGTTCATTTCTCTTGACCATTTGAATCTCTCTAACTATTTCCCCCTACTGCTAATAGTTCGCTACTTCTACAACAACCACTACAAATGAGTGCAAAATCCGCATATGCATAACAATTGATTCAGTTCTATAGTGTTTTTTTTTACTTTTTATAATATGGGGGATAGGTAAAGAGAGTTTTGCTATTTGCCATTGTGCTATTAATAAGCTTTCTAAGCATATCATCTTTGGATTTAATTTCCCGTGTATTTTCAACTTTGTGGAATTGCTTATGAGGATGCGAGTCCTTCAAATTAATTTCAATTTCTTCAGCCATGTTACAAAAATGCCAAATATACTATTAACTGACAAAAAATTGCTCACAAGAATAACCCGGGTTGACAATACACTGAAAACGCTTAGCAAACAATTCGGTACAAATTGTGTATGAAAAAAAATACTAGTCATACAGTTTCCATACTTCGGGATTTGTATGACTGGCATTTTTGTTGAAATTTTAAAAATTCTCCAAAAAAAACTCTTTTTTTTATCAGTTGCAAAATCAATTTTCCAAAATTCCAAAATTCCAAAAAAAAATTGCAAGCAAGATTATAGTTTTTTGTCCATGAAGTGTTTCGTGAAGTCCGAATCTTAAACCGAATTAGTGCAAGAATGATTAGATTAAATCTGCATACTGTTTTATAGTTCAATATAAATTTGAGTACTAACTTTTCATTTGAGGAGTTGAAAAGTAACCCATATTCATTTGACATATTATAGTTGCAACTGTCAAATAAAAAGGACAATTCTCTAACTTGCGTTCGGACGGGAATATCATAACGAGAAAGATCAAAAAGTCATCGTGTTGATAACGTGGCTAGAAAATCAATGCAAGCTAAATTGCAAGATAAACAGTGGCATGTTTTATTTGTTCGCCATGATATTCGGGAGCAAGTTTAAGACAACATTTCTTTAAAATTTACAGTAAAAAGTTCTTACCGGACGCCTTGGTGCTCGTGATGACGTTTCCAGCCATCATAAAATGAACCGTTTTCATCTCAATTCCAGTGACGTCATCAGCTTCTTCGTCCTGAGTGATGTCATCGATTGTTTCCTTGCCAGAAACGACATCATTGTCATAATTATTCACGATTTCACCATGTCCTCCAGTTTGAGTGACGTCATCGATGATTTCCGCGTGGAACTTTTCTTCGGGAAATGCACAAGCGTCCACGCAGTGCTTGTAGGCGAGGAAGTTGTTGGAGTTTCCACCACAACCATTGTAGTTGAAAGTGACGCAATCGTTTAACTTTGGGTCATAAGCGAACCGAACAATCGAGTAGCTACAGTCACCGGAATCTATCGGGTCGCTACAGTTCGTTTTAGCGTATGACTCAGACAAGGGCTCGCATGATAACAAGGGGGCAAGAAATACAACAAGGGAGCAGGCTACAAACGGAAATAAATGTTTGGCCATCATCAAAAAAAATCAACCACGTTGAAAAAACCTGTTGGGGCAAATTTCAACCAAAATATAGAAGTTGAATGTATCGCAAATAAAATCTTCAATCGATGAAAAATGAAGTGCAAAATAAACAGAGCGGAGAAAAGTTTAGAGTGATTAGGTGAACTTATCGAATCCCACCTAGGGAGATAACATTTTAAATTTACGGTCGAGAGGATAACAGAGAAAAAGGCGGATAAAATAAGGGCCACAAAATGCAATCAAGAGGTAACTATTTGCAATACTTACCCACGCCCAAGTTGGATGAGCACTACGGCCTAACTAGTTGGAAAAGGCAAATTCAACTTTGTTTTCAGTCAAGAAATGCAAATTTGGAGAATTTAATGATGTTAAACTTGTCGCTAGGGATTTTTAAACAGAATTCTCAAATGTCCCTCTAAAGGTAGCCGGTGTCTTCGTAGCGGACCTCCCTTAGAATTCACACTCTTCCCGGAACAAATTAATCTAATCAATTTGGCAGGACGGACAAGACTCAGTGTAAACGTTTAAGCCAATGTCAATTTCATGCAAATCCCTAAGCACAGAGACAAAAATGAATTGACGGTAAGAAAAAATCGCCTGAAGATAGCAAAAAAGCATTTAACCATTCAACAAAAGTCTGCACGATGAAAATAAAAGTCGAGATTGACAATGCCTTGATTTTTTTAAATGGTATTACTTCAGATTATATTGCCTTAGTTTAAAAGAGCTGGGAAAATCCCGTTTCTCAGAAGGTATCATAGCTTAAACACAGCTATCAAATAACTTGAAACAGGCTTTTTATTTCCATTCATTTCACTGGGATGTATTTTTTTTTCAGTGATTTCAATAAAACATGAACCGGAAGTAGATTGCAATTACACATGGCTTCAAAAAAATTTACTCCGCTTTCAGAAACCGCACTTTGAAAAAGTATGCGTTCAATCAGAAAGTGTTAAAACAGTTACGTGAAACGTCAGCCATTATGTAACCAATACCAAAGTGACGCATATAGATACGATATCAAGCTTGATCAAGACTTCGAATTCTGACAATTGATACGCAGGGTTTAGTATTAAGAGATATCATCCACATGGATCAACCACATGATTTAGAGATATCATCGATTTAGAATTCTCTCACTGTTTAGCTAAATATATCAACATGTAGTGTAGGTTTAGCTTGTTTTACTGGGAGCAGCTTGAAAAAAAAATCTTGATCCAACGATCGAATTTTTAATTATCAGTTTCAAAATTTAGTGGTGTAACGTTCGGCAGAAATAGTTTTTATTGGCATCTACTGGATAAAATCAACTTTCATTTCGGCGATCTGAAACTGTTTGATGATGATTCAAAAATGGATGAATGATTCAAAAATGGATGATTGAAAAACGTCTCAGATGGCTGAAATGCAACTTGATCCTATCCAAAAAACGAGAGAGACCAAATATCTTACACTCTGACTAGTCATTCAGTTGAAACAATTCTAAACACAGAACTGACAACATAAAGTGAAAAATTAAACTGGGAACCTATAACAAAAGTTTCTAAACAATGCACATAAGCTTGAAGGTTGCCTTACATTAAAAAAGCACAATTCCATGGCACTAATATTCTACTTGGCAGGGCGACAATTCGTAACAGGCGACAATTCGTAACAAGGCATTCGCAATAAGAATTCGCTTGCTCCGCTGCGCTTACATCTGGCACGACAGGAATACTGCGCGTGAATCAGTGTTTCCATCTCAATGTAACCATGTCGCTTGTAACGAATTGTCGCCTGTTACGAATTGTCGCCTGTAACGAATTGTCGCCTATTACGAATTTTCGCCTCACGATTCTTCTTAGCATCTGCATTTTTCTAGTCAATTATTCAAATTGTCACTATTCAAATTATCAAATTGTAATAGCAAACTGAAATGGATGAAACCCTGCGACATCAAGGTATGCAGCCCCATGAAGAGAGGCAAAAATTTCTAACCTACCAGTATGTTAGGCAAATTAGTTTATAATCATTGGAGCAACTTCTTGGACAAATAGCAAACGCAAAAGTTAACAACAAGAAACCCAAAATTCTTCGTGAAAACTAGCCTACGCGTGATTGAGATATTCGGCAAAAAATTTGCAATATGAGTATTTTAAAAACAGATAACAATTCTCAAAAATTGAAGAAAAAAATAATTATGGTTCCGGAGTTCCGTAAAATCTTCTTATAAGATCGCTAAGATCTTTCTGGAAAAAGATAGCCAGAAATCGAATGTTGGAAATCGAGAACATGAGTTGAGTATTTAAGCAGAGGGCAATGAAGCAAAAAAAATCCATGAAAGACCTATAAAGTTAAGTAATGACGAAAGAGGTCTGGAAATTTATAAAGCACAGTACACCTCCATCGAAAACGAAAAACAGAACGACAAGCCAACCCATACCGTAGCTTTTACTGTTGCAAATGAGTAAAAAAAACTCATACTCTGCATATTGAATATCCGTTCTCTGAGGTGCCAATAATAAGAACTGAAATCATCCATTAGTAATTTAGCCAATTCACACACACCAGATTGATTTTGCTTCAGAAATGACACAAAAGTTCCTAAAAACTGAAATAATGTAGCCTCTCAAACAAAAAACAAGAAATAATCGTCATAGTTGTTAATCAAAATCTGTAACTTTAATTAATTAAATGATGAGAGGAAGGCACTGGGAGTTTAAAAAGATCTATAAAATACTTTTCATTGAATACTCTGATTTTTAATGATCCCTGAATGAAACAAGAAAAATTTACAACCAGACTACATCAATATCAACCGACTGTCGACACACTTCATGCAGTACAGAAATCTAGTGACATCGCATATGTATTTTTTGGGACCAATAATCTTGTCAAAAGACAATCTAGATACACATCTACCTCATTGAAAAAACTCTTAATTTTGAAATTGCACTAGAAAATGGTTTAGAGTTTAACTATTTTGGCTACATGATCTAAGATGCGTTTTTGTTTCAACTTTAAAAATAGTTTGAGCTAATTTTTGGCTCATTTTAGCATTAGAAAACAGTCATGCTTTAAGGTTAATTTGATAAACATGCCCTAACTAAAAAGCGATAAGATAAGATTCAAAATGAAAAGTCTATAAAAAACAGGAGTCTCGAAAACTAAATTTTCGAAATTTTTTGTGGTGCATAATTTTCCAAACAGTTATCCTTTCAAAATAATTCATTAAAAAACGTGTTTACAATTAAATTTTAACACAAGTGAAGTTGCACTTTGCATACACAAGCAAAAATATGACCGATAACTCTACTGGGAAAAACTGAATGAGTAAAACTTTGAGTCTACAAAATCTCTTAAGCGACGCACGCTAATTATAAGTCTATATAAATGCTTAGTGACGCAAGCCAATTATGACGCATCAGCAGTACCAGTCGATTTGAAAAAAAAAAGAAATTTACCAACTAACATGCCTCAATTTATAGAGCGGACGCATTTTAACTAGTACACGAAAAAGTTCATTAAGCACATCCGACCCTGCCCAGGTTCGAACCCTCTTATTTTGTTGCGGGTCTCCTTCCTTGCCTCTACGCTACATATCCATGAAACCTTGAAGCTAAAGTGCTATTTTTAATATAATAGTCTGTGTTAATATCCTTAGCATTGGCTGTACTTGGTAGATGGTTATTGATCAAAATGAACACATTTTGTCGCAGCAAATTTTGCGTCGCAACAATATTTGCGACATAGTTTAGAGAAAAAGAGAGCTCATACTATAACACAAGCTTTGTTCGCGTAAATAATTAGCAGAATTTTTCGCAAAACAGTGCCTTTACACTTTTCTGTGACATATTAGCATAAGTGGTCTAGCAATATGTTTTAGGTAGAAAATCTATTTCAGTAAGATTTAAAGAAACTTGCCACATTTATACTGTGAATTTTGAATCAATTCTATGCATTATCCAATCTATTCTAGTCTATTATAAGAATAAAAAAAACTTGAAAAAAAACATGAAAATTTTTATGTGGCAGATCAAATTCATGATTAAAATTTTTCAATATGAATAATCATTTATCACTTTACATCGTATGACGTATTTTTGTAGCCCTGCTTTTTGGTTGGAATAATCAATTCAAAATTTCGTCACATCTTCGGTGCTCAGAAAATGTCCTGCTAGTACCCAAAAAAATTGATGAGAACAGTTCACGCTATTCCAAAACTCGTCGCCACGCAGTTTGAGATTGAGTTTTGAAAAGGAATAAAGACTGTTTTTTTTTTTAGAATTTATAACATTATTCAAAATCATGCTTACATACCTGACCCCAGGGTATTTGATGATACAAGGATATGGGTGTTTATTTAAGCCAAAGTTGGAAACCTATTTTGACATGTGCTATTTTGTGGTCTATTGCACTATATGTTAGGACGGGACTAAATTTCTGGACTAAATTCAACCCAGCGACATTTGGGCGGCAAGCTTTGGTCAGAACTGTCAGTTGAATAAACGAAAAAAGAGGTAAATTCCTCTAATAAGCCAGCGTTAACAGTCTCTCTGCAGTTCAATACAATAAAAAAGAAGACTTTTTTCGCAATAAACGGGTTCTTTTTGGGTTAAATTAGACTACATAACACGTAGAAGCACAAAGGCAATCTCGGGCCCTTGGGAAGGTAATGGGAAACGCTTGTTTAGTAATCTTTTCCACTAATTATAGAGCCCGCTAGAATCTCCCACTTATTGTTCTAGCCCAATGCCCAATCCCCTCGAGTTTTCCTCTGCTCAGCAGGGCAACAATACTAGTCAACCCTTACAATCTGGGAGGACTTACCAACAAAAGACACCCCTCTCACTCTCTCAATCCATCACCAAGTATTGATACATTGATTTTCGTTATCTGAAGACTTACTTCTCTAATTAAGCCACGGCGTGAATGAAATAACCCCCAATTCGCACCTTGAACATATCATTAAAAATAATGAACAGCAAATCCAACTAAGCGTAGTGTAATAATTTTCAGCGTTCCAGTTTTTTTTCATGGAAAATTGATAAGATCAGGTCAAACGAACTTTTTGAAATAATGATTTCCTGAAAATTGTGATAGCAATCCTTGTTAACTGATTTTTGTCTGAAGATTGCTTTCTTAATTAAATTTCTGCCAGTGCCAATCAAGTTGAAAAAAATCAGCAAAATGATTAAAGACGCGCTTATGTTTTTGTTAAATTGAAAGAAGACATACGAACATAATACTTACCTTTTAAGCGTAAGACGATGTTGAATGGCGAAAGAAGATAACAAAAGACGTGCTTATATTTTGTCAGCATACTCTTTTGAAGAAAAAAAGAAAAGCTATCTTTCAGAATCAGAGCCTGAGAATGAAAATGTTCCTCTAGTCTGTTTTATGCAAATTTCACTTTCAAGAAATCGTACTTTGAATCGTTTGAACTAAGACTAGCAAGCTCATCTTCATTAATCAATCGGTTCGTAGAAAGCAATGTATCTTTGAAAAATTTCTAACGTATTTCAGCTTCAACCGGGGTACGAGTATGATATTTGGGTCCCAGGAAAGTCCCAAAAATTTTGTGAACCCTGACAGCACCCCAGTATAAGATTGCTGGTTTCAATTTTTGAGTAATTTTTTAAACCTAAATTTTTTGTAAGTTTTTCAAACAAATCATAAAAAACGTCACATCTCGGAAACTAAAAGGAATTGAGCAGAATTATTTGGAGGCGAAATTCCGACTGCTGAAGTAACCTGACAGCCTCCTATCATAGCGTTGCTTTTTACAATTCATATGAGGGAAGCTGACATTATATGAGCAGTCATATTTGGAGGCAAGATAAGCAAACACTGAAAAAATCCTGACATCAACCCACCATGAGTTTGCTATTTTCAAAAGCACTATTGGTTTTTATTTTTAAAATTTTCAACAATTTTTCAAAAATTCATAAAAAACGTCATATCACGAAGGCTAAAAAAAATTGAGCAGACATACTTGGAGCCATGATCTGCAACCCTTAAAATAAACTTGACAGTACCCAAGTATAAGGTTGAAAATTTCGAATTCTTTTAAAACTTTTTAGCCGAATTTTTGTGGAGGCAAGATTTGTTAACTTTTGAAAGTACCCCAATAGCACCCCACCATAGCGTTGCTAATTTTATTTAGTTTTTTATTTTGAAAATTTTAGAATTTGACAACAATTCAAAAATTCGAAGTTTTTAAGACAAAATACCGAGCAACAGCACTGCGATGAATGACTTTTTCCAAAGCTTGAGTCCTTACGGAAATATTTAAGGGTTTTCAAGCACGGTATTGACCAAAACAGTTTTTAAATACTTCAAACTTCAAATTATTGTCGTAGCTTGAATATAGTACCTGCATGTAAATCTTTTCAAGATAAACTTTGAACATATTCAAAATTATTTGGGAACATTTCACTTTGTTTTTATAGCTTAAAACGATTTTTGAATATTTCAAGCTATTTATCATTAAAGCTTTGGAACAAAGCGGTTAACAAACGTTTAAATTTTTCCAAGACGGTTAGTCAAGGGCTGAAACTTTGATATATTTCAAGTTATTTCATAGAGCGAGTAGGTTCAAAAAACTTAGCCAACAGGCAGGTGGACGAACTTGTTTTTGAAAAAATCTTTCGAACTTCAAAGCAAGAAAAAGAGGCTCTTTAACCACTATGAATTTTTAAAACAATTTACGATTGACATTTTTCGCTAAAACTGACTGAATTTGAAAAACTGGTTCGATAGGCAATGTTTCTATTCCGCTGGGATACCTGATAATTAAATTTCTTTTACGAAATAAGAAGTCGGTCACGTTTTTCGTGACTTTTCAACATTCGTTCGATTGTGGAGCTTGCTATCCTTTTGACAAAGGAAGTGAACCGAACTTGAAACGAAATCAAAAGTCAAATCGCGAAAAAGTAAACTTGAGCCTGAACAAACTTAAGACCTTTCCAGAAAAAACCAAAAAAATCATCGCGACCTGCTTAAGAACCTGAACTACATTCATCAACCCTTACAAATTAAATTTCTTAGAGCAGCTACTCCAGAGATTAAATTTCGAATTGTTTCTGATTGTTCAATCGCGTAGCAAAAAGTTAAGTTTTTTAAAGCAAGGAGATCACTGTTGTTAAAAAGTTCGTTTCAGCTTGAAATGAACCTGTGCACGCAAAAATTGGGCCAAAAAGTGGACAGAAACTGTCTAGCTTTGAAGTTGGATCAATTTCATCTCAAAGAGTTGATTTCAAAGATTTGACTTTTGCAAAACAAATGCTAGAATACTTCAAATTTTAGAACATTCTCTGCTTTTTTTAAACGTTGAGCATTAAGAAATTTCTGAAACGTTGCGCTCGACAGAGTTCAAATATAGCTAGCGTTCAGTTAAACATAGCGCATTCTGACTTTCATTTAGTATAAAAGATGTCCGCTAGGTACTGTCTCGATTTGAAAATTACCACGTTGCTTACTCTGCTTACTTTTTTCATACCAGGAAGAATTTAACCTAGAAAATATATAGCAATTGATTGACTCTAATCAGTTCCCGGAAAAAAACAAAGAAAAGGGGCGAACCGAATCTTACAGCTACTTGTGGTCCCACACAAGCAGATCTTTACAAGCTAGCAAAAAAAATAAAAACCAATAAGCCGGATAAATTTCAAATAACAAAATTGAAAAAGCCACAACTACAAACACATGAAAAAGTTGTTTGGAATGATGTTCAATTTGAGGAAAATAGGTCCAGAAACAATCGCCGGAATTAAATAATGATTCAAAATTTTTACCTTTTTGAAATTTCGGCAATTCTAATCTTCTACCTTGCCCCTTCAGGAAACACACAAACAGATAAAAATCTGTTTTGCCCTCGAAATGACGTTAAAGTTTGGTCACCAAGCCATTAAATCATACTCACAATTTGACGCCAAATAAAGCAAAGAAAAAACATAGAAATTACGAAAAAAAACTGACTTAGTATGTTTACAAATTGAAAGAATAGTTACAACAAATTTTTAATTACTACAAAAATTGCTTACAAAGCTGGAAAAATCTGCGACGTGGCAATTAAGCCGATAAAACATTAGCAACCAATAGGCCGACAATTTTTCTGAAACGGAACATATTTTTTTTTGGCAGAGAAGACAGGTCCTGCGAGGTTCTAACCTAGGACCTTTGACGTACCAGGCGTATTCGTTAGCACCAGACCACGTAACACGGAGAGGCAAAAAAAATTGAATTCATTATGAACTGAACTTAAATTACCATTTCTAAGCTTATGAACAAAGATATTCAAGAAAACAAGTCTGTTGCAAGATTTTAATACCCATTTTATCGCAATGGCAATTAGTATAGGAACAAAAATTAAGCGGAAACAAAGCAAAAGAACAAAAATTAAGAGGAAACACCAGTTGAGTAAAAACAAATTGATTTTATAAAAAAAACTGTATAAAATTTCAAGACTCCCTGAAACTACAATGAACAACATTTACCATGATACTTGCTCCCAGCCCAAGAAAAACTCGTGATTTGACAACAAAGCCCAGAAAAGCAGATAAACGAAGATTTGACAAATCAATTTTTACCGGAAATTTTATTTCAATTGCAAACATATTAAAAAAACAAGGTCCTGCCGCGATTTGAATCACGGACCTTAGGGTGCAAAGACGACGGCGTTCTCTCTAGGGCAAGTGTGAATAAACCTTAACATTTTCATGATTCAAAAATGAAGCAAGTTAAAAATTTCTAAGAAAAGTTGTTTAGGGAAAAAAATCTGGTTCCCGATTACAAGAAATTTTGCTAGTGTAACGAACTCGATTGTTGGCAAAACAACTTACATGGAAAAGTTACAAAACAACGCAAGATTTCTTTTACCTGCAACAGAAGCAACATGATTATAACAGAAGTTGCACAACTAATAACAACAAAAAATCCGGCCTGAAGTGCAAGATGAACAAAAAAAATCGACTGTTTAGTTATTCTACCTATATATTTTTTCATTTTTATTGAAGAGGGTCATTGAGGTTCATTGACAAAAAAATGTAAGGTTTCAACTTTTCTCATGTAAAACCAATACACAGCCTCGGCAAACACTTAACAGCCTCGGCAAACACTAATCACATATAAAGCTGCTACACATGCTAACAAATTGCCAACGCGATGCAGCAAAAAAGGGGGAGGGTGATGTCATCCGTTTCGCCGCAGCCGGTCCCACCTTGGGGAGCGGCTGCTCACCCTAACCCACTCCACCACGGCTGCCCACCTAGTTACATAACAGTATATATAAAAAAGAGAGCCCCAGTTTTCATTTTTACGTAACTTTGAGCGAAATGCTTTGGACAGGTTAAGCACAGAAAAAAACCAACCGCAGTTTTTATTACTTCAATCTAAGGCATACGAATGTAAGACTCACCTTGGAACGCATTCAGATGATAGATGACGAAAAAAAAGAACACTCTAAAACATTGTCCACATTGATGCCAAAAACAACCATTTAATGTTTTCAAGCCATGGTTTAATTCGTTTTCTTCCAATTGATCGTTTGAGCGTCATAAATTTATCACAAAAGGCAAGCGGTCTTAATAAGGTAAAGGGGCGGTCATAAAACTATCGGCTGATTGGAAAATACTTGAAACTGGACAACATATTTATAATAAAGCAAAGGTTTCTGTTGAAGGTTTATGTGGAAATAATTGAGATTTAGAGCT